ACAGACACAGACCTATAGTTTAACATGGTACAGACACAGACCTATAGTTTAACATGGTACAGACACAGACCTAATAGTTTAACATGGTACAGACACAGACCTATAGTTTAACATGGTACAGACACAGACCTATAGTTTAACATGGTACAGACACAGACCTATAGTTTAACATGGTACAGACACAGACCTATAGTTTAACATGGTACAGACATGTACTTACACTTTTTATTACAACAGAGAGAGAGAGAGAGAGACCAGAGAGAGAGACCAGAGAGAGAGACCAGAGAGAGAGACCAGAGAGAGAGACCAGAGAGAGAGACCAGAGAGAGAGAGTTTTCCTGTGTGTAAAGGATCCAGGACTGGTCCCTGTGGTGTTAACGTTTGTTTGACTTCAGGTGCATCACGCGGCCGCCATCAAAGAGTACAGCCGCTCCTCCGCAGACCAGGAGGAGCCTCTGCCTCACGAGCTCAGGCCCCTGAAGATCCTGGGCCAGACCATGGACTACATCGTGACCCAGATCCTGGACCAGGGCTCCGACAACTACCGCGACTGGTACGACTTTGTCTGGAACCGCACCAGAGGAATCCGCAAGGTACAAACAGGATGAGACCGAGAGAGAGGCCAGAGACTGAGAGAGAGGCCAGAGACTGAGAGAGAGGAGAGGCCAGAGACTGAGAGAGAGAGAGAGGCCAGAGACTGAGAGAGAGGAGAGGCCAGAGACTGAGAGAGAGGCCAGAGACTGAGAGAGAGGCCAGAGACTGAGAGAGAGGCCAGAGACTGAGAGAGAGGCCAGAGACTGAGAGAGAGGCCAGAGACTGAGAGAGAGGCCAGAGACTGAGAGAGAGACCAGAGACTGAGAGAGAGGCCAGAGACTGAGAGAGAGGCCAGAGACTGAGAGAGAGGCCAGAGACTGAGAGAGAGGAGAGGCCAGAGACTGAGAGAGAAGAGAGGCCAGAGACTGAGAGAGAGGCCAGAGACTGAGAGAGAGGCCAGAGACTGAGAGAGAGGCCAGAGACTGAGAGAGAGAGAGAGGCCAGAGACTGAGAGAGAGGCCAGAGACTGAGAGAGAGGCCAGAGACTGAGAGAGAGGCCAGAGACTGAGAGAGAGGCCAGAGACTGAGAGAGAGGCCAGAGACTGAGAGAGAGACCAGAGACTGAGAGAGAGACCAGAGACTGAGAGAGAGACCAGAGACTGAGAGAGAGGCCAGAGACTGAGAGAGAGAGGCCAGAGACTGAGAGAGAGAGAGAGAGGCCAGAGACTGAGAGAGAGAGAGAGAGGCCAGAGACTGAGAGAGAGAGGCCAGAGACTGAGAGAGAGAGAGAGGCCAGAGACTGAGAGAGAGGCCAGAGACTGAGAGAGAGAGAGAGAGAGGCCAGAGACTGGAGAGAGAGAGAGAGAGAGAGGCCAGAGACTGAGAGAGAGAGGCCAGAGACAGAGAGGAGAGAGAGAGAGAGGCCAGAGACTGAGAGAGAGAGAGAGAGAGGCCAGAGACTGAGAGAGAGAGAGGCCAGAGACTGAGAGAGAGAGAGAGAGGCCAGAGACTGAGAGAGAGAGAGGCCAGAGACTGAGAGAGAGAGGCCAGAGACGAACGAGAGAGAGAGGCCAGAGACTGAGAGAGAGGAGAGGCCAGAGACTGAGAGAGAGAGAGAGGCCAGAGACTGAGAGAGAGGCCAGAGACTGAGAGAGAGGCCAGAGACTGAGAGAGAGAGGCCAGAGACTGAGAGAGAGGAGAGGCCAGAGACTGAGAGAGAGAGAGAGGCCAGAGACTGAGAGAGAGGCCAGAGACTGAGAGAGAGGCCAGAGACTGAGAGAGAGGCCAGAGACTGAGAGAGAGGCCAGAGACTGAGAGAGAGGCCAGAGACTGAGAGAGAGGCCAGAGACTGAGAGAGAGAGGCCAGAGACTGAGAGAGAGAGGCCAGAGACTGAGAGAGAGAGGCCAGAGACTGAGAGAGAGAGGCCAGAGACTGAGAGAGAGAGAGAGGCCAGAGACTGAGAGAGAGAGAGAGAGGCCAGAGACTAAGAGAGAGAGAGAGAGGCCAGAGACTGAGAGAGAGGCCAGAGACTGAGAGAGAGGCCAGAGACTGAGAGAGAGGCCAGAGACTGAGAGAGAGAGGCCAGAGACTGAGAGAGAGGCCAGAGACTGAGAGAGAGGCCAGAGACTGAGAGAGAGGCCAGAGACTGAGAGAGAGAGAGAGAGAGAGGCCAGAGACTGAGAGAGAGGAGAGGCCAGAGACTGAGAGAGAGAGGCCAGAGACTGAGAGAGAGGCCAGAGACTGAGAGAGAGGCCAGAGACTGAGAGAGAGGCCAGAGACTGAGAGAGAGGCCAGAGACTGAGAGAGAGGCCAGAGACTGAGAGAGAGGCCAGAGACTGAGAGAGAGACCAGAGACTGAGAGAGAGGCCAGAGACTGAGAGAGAGAGGCCAGAGACTGAGAGAGAGAGGCCAGAGACTGAGAGAGAGAGGCCAGAGACTGAGAGAGAGAGGCCAGAGACTGAGAGAGAGAGAGAGAGGCCAGAGACTGAGAGAGAGAGAGAGAGAGGCCAGAGACTGAGAGAGAGAGAGAGAGAGGCCAGAGACTGAGAGAGAGAGAGAGAGAGGCCAGAGACTGAGAGAGAGAGAGAGAGGCCAGAGACTGAGAGAGAGAGAGAGAGGCCAGAGACCAAGAGAGAGAGAGAGGCCAGAGACAGAGAGAGAGAGAGGCCAGAGACTGAGAGAGAGAGAGAGGCCAGAGACTGAGAGAGAGAGAGAGAGGCCAGAGACTGAGAGAGAGAGAGAGAGGCCAGAGACTGAGAGAGAGAGAGAGAGGCCAGAGACTGAGAGAGAGGCCAGAGACTGAGAGAGAGGCCAGAGACTGAGAGAGAGGCCAGAGACTGAGAGAGAGGCCAGAGACTGAGAGAGAGAGAGAGAGAGGCCAGAGACTGAGAGAGAGGAGAGGCCAGAGACTGAGAGAGAGAGAGAGGCCAGAGACTGAGAGAGAGGCCAGAGACTGAGAGAGAGGCCAGAGACTGAGAGAGAGGCCAGAGACTGAGAGAGAGGCCAGAGACTGAGAGAGAGGCCAGAGACTGAGAGAGAGGCCAGAGACTGAGAGAGAGACCAGAGACTGAGAGAGAGGCCAGAGACTGAGAGAGAGAGGCCAAAGACTGAGAGAGAGAGGCCAGAGACTGAGAGAGAGAGAGAGAGGCCAGAGACTGAGAGAGAGGCCAGAGACTGAGAGAGAGAGAGAGAGAGGCCAGAGACTGAGAGAGAGAGAGAGAGGCCAGAGACTGAGAGAGAGAGAGAGAGGCCAGAGACCAAGAGAGAGAGAGAGGCCAGAGACAGAGAGAGAGAGAGGCCAGAGACTGAGAGAGAGGAGAGGCCAGAGACCGAGAGAGAGGCCAGAGACTGAGAGAGAGAGAGAGAGGCCAGAGACTGAGAGAGAGGCCAGAGACCAAGAGAGAGAGAGAGGCCAGAGACCGAGAGAGAGGAGAGGCCAGAGACTGAGAGAGAGAGAGAGGCCAGAGACCAAGAGAGAGAGAGAGGCCAGAGACCGAGAGAGAGGAGAGGCCAGAGACTGAGAGAGAGAGAGGCCAGAGACAGAGAGAGAGAGAGAGAGGCCAGAGACTGAGAGAGAGAGAGAGAGGCCAGAGACCAAGAGAGAGAGAGAGGCCAGAGACAGAGAGAGAGAGAGAGGCCAGAGACTGAGAGAGAGGAGAGGCCAGAGACCGAGAGAGAGGCCAGAGACCGAGAGAGAGGCCAGAGACCGAGAGAGAGGCCAGAGACCGAGAGAGAGGCCAGAGACCGAGAGAGAGGCCAGAGACCGAGAGAGAGGCCAGAGACCGAGAGAGAGGCCAGAGACCGAGAGAGAGGCCAGAGACCGAGGGAGAGGCCAGAGACCGAGGGAGGAGGCCAGAGACCGAGGGAGAGGCCAGAGACCGAGGGAGAGGCCAGAGACCGAGGGAGAGGCCAGAGACCGAGGGAGAGGCCAGAGACCGAGGGAGAGGCCAGAGACCGAGGGAGAGGCCAGAGACCGAGGGAGAGGCCAGAGACCGAGGGAGAGGCCAGAGACCGAGGGAGAGGCCAGAGACCGAGGGAGAGGCCAGAGACCGAGGGAGAGGCCAGAGGCCAGAGACCGAGGGAGAGGCCAGAGGCCAGAGACCGAGGGAGAGGAGAGGCCAGAGACCGAGAGAGAGGCCAGAGACCGAGAGAGAGGAGAGGCCAGAGACTGAGAGAGAGGAGAGGCCAGAGACTGAGAGAGAGGCCAGAGACTGAGAGAGAGGAGAGGCCAGAGACTGAGAGAGAGGAGAGGCCAGAGACTGAGAGAGAGGAGAGGCCAGAGACTGAGAGAGAGGCCAGAGACTGAGAGAGAGGCCAGAGACTGAGAGAGAGGCCAGAGACTGAGAGAGAGGCCAGAGACTGAGAGAGAGGCCAGAGACTGAGAGAGAGGCCAGAGACTGAGAGAGAGGCCAGAGACTGAGAGAGAGGCCAGAGACTGAGAGAGAGGCCAGAGACTGAGAGAGAGGCCAGAGACTGAGAGAGAGGCCAGAGACAGAGAGAGAGAGAGAGAGAGGCCAGAGACTGAGAGAGAGGACAGGCCAGAGACTGAGAGAGAGAGAGAGGCCAGAGACCGAGAGAGAGGCCAGAGACCGAGAGAGAGGCCAGAGACCGAGAGAGAGGCCAGAGACCGAGAGAGAGGCCAGAGACCGAGAGAGAGGCCAGAGACCGAGAGAGAGGCCAGAGACCGAGAGAGAGGCCCGAGAGCGAGGCCCGAGAGCGAGGCCCGAGAGAGAGGCCCCTAAGAACTGTTTTGTCTCTCAGGACATCATCCAGCAGCACCTGTGTTGTCCCAGGACGGTCTCTCTGATTGAGAAATGTGCACGTTTCCACGTGCACTGTGCCCATGAACTGTGTGAGGAGCCCATGTCCTCCTTCGACTCCAAGATCAACAACGAGAACCTGACCAAGTGTCTGCAGAGTCTGAAGGAGATGTACCAGGACCTGTCCATGAGGGGGCAGCACTGTGCCAGAGAGGCCGAGTTCAGGCACTACAACGTCCTGCTCAAGCTCAACGACGGAGACATCCTCCGGTAAGATACACACCATAACGAGACTGTGACGAGACTATAACGAAACTATCAAAAGACTGTGACGAGACTGACGAGATCTCTATACATCTTACATCATGAAAAGAACTGATTCATGAAGATACAGTCTGTTATAATGTGATTAGCTCTTGTCTTTCTCTGGTCTCTCTCTCTGGTCCCTCACGTCTCTGATCTCTCACGTCTCCTCTGGTCTCTCCTGGTCCTCAGGGAGGTGCAGCAGTTCCGTGATGAGGTCCGTAACTCTGCGGAGGTGAAGTTCTCGGTGCAGGTCTTCAGCGCCGTCAACAGCAACAACTTTGTCAGATTCTTCAAACTGGTTCAGTCTGCGCCGTACCTGAGCAGCTGCCTCCTGCACCGCTACTTCACCCAGGTAACTGTTGGTGTGAAGACCCGCATCTGCACTCACTTTATCAAACACGTGTCCTTCACCCAGGTAACTGTCGGTGTGAAGACCCGCATCTGCACTCACACTTTATCAAACACGTGTCCTTCACCCAGGTAACTGTCGGTGTGAAGACCTGCATCTGCACTCACACTTTATCAAACACGTGTCCTTCACCCAGGTAACTGTCGGTGTGAAGACCTGCATCTGCACTCACACTTTATCAAACACGTGTCCTTCACCCAGGTAACTGTCGGTGTAAAGACCCGCATCTGCACTCACACTTTATCAAACACGTGTCCTTCACCCAGGTAACTGTCGGTGTGAAGACCCGCATCTGCACTCACACTTTATCAAACACGTGTCCTTCACCCAGGTAACTGTCGGTGTGAAGACCCGCATCTGCACTCACTTTATCAAAAACGTGTCCTTCACCCAGGTAACTGTCGGTGTGAAGACCTGCATCTGCACTCACACTTTATCAAACACGTGTCCTTCACCCAGGTAACTGTCGGTGTGAAGACCTGCATCTGCACTCACACTTTATCAAACACGTGTCCTTCACCCAGGTAACTGTCGGTGTGAAGACCTGCATCTGTAAAAGTCTCAGTGTGTACATAAGACATAACACAATCCTCAGTGTATCATATACAGTGGGGCAAAAAAGTATTTAGTCAGCCTCCGACTGTGCAAGTTCTCCCACTTAAAATAATGACAGAGGTCTGTAATGTTCATCATAGGTTCACTTCAACTGTGAGAGACAGAAAGTGAAAACAAATCCAGGAATTCACATTGTAGGATTTTTAAAGAATTTATTTGTAAATTATGGTGGAAAATAAGTATTTGGTCAATAACAGAAATTCAACTCAATACTTTGTAATATAACCTTTGTTGGCAATAACAGGTCAAACGATTACTATAGGTCTTTACCAGGTTTGCACACACAGTAGCTGGTATTTTGGCCCATTCCTCCATGCAGATCTTCTCGAGAGCAGTGAACACGGACTTTCAACTCCCTCCACAGATGTTCAATGGGGTTGAGGTCTGGAGACTGGCGAGGCCACTCCAGGACTTTCAAATGCTTCTTACGGAGCCACTCCTTCGTTGCCCGGGCGGTGTGTTTGGGATCATTGTCATGATGGAAGACCCAGCCACGTTTCATCTTCAAAGCTCTCACTGATGGAAGGAGGTTTTGGCTCAAAATCTCACGATACATGACCCCATTCATTCTTTCCTTAACACGGATCAGTGGTCCTGTCCCCTTAGCAGAAAAACAGCCCCAGAGCATGACGTTTCCACCCCCATGCTTCACAGTAGGTATGGTGTTCTTGGGATGTAACTCAGTATTCTTCTTCCTCCAAACACGACGAGTTGAGTTTATACCAAACAGTTGTACTTTGGTTTCATCTGACCACATGACATTCTCCCAATCCTCTGCTGTATCATCCATGTGCTCTCTGGCAAACTTCAGACGGGCCTGGACATGCACTGGCTTCAGCAGGAGGACACGTCTGGCACTGCAGGATTTGATTCCCTGTCGTCGTAGTGTGTTACTGATGGTAACCTTTGTTACTTTGGTCCCAGCTCTCTGCAGGTCATTCACCAGGTCCCCCCGTGTGGTTCTGGGATTTTTGATCACCGTTCTCATGATCATTTTGACCCCACGGGATGAGATCTTGCGATCGAGGGAGATTATCAGTGGTCTTGTATGTCTTCCATTTTCTGATAATTGCTCCCACAGTTGATTGGTTCACACCAAGCTGCTTGCCTATTGTAGATTCACTCTTCCCAGTCTGGTGCAGGTCTACAATTCTTTTCCTGGTGTCCTTGGACAGCTCTTTGGTCTTGGCCATAGTGGAGTTTGGAGTCTGACTGTTTGAGGCTGTGGACAGGTGTCTTTTATACAGATGAGTTCAAACAGGTTCCATTAATACAGGTAACGAGTGGAGGACAGAAGAGCTTCTTAAAGAAGAAGTTACAGGTCTGTGAGAGCCACAGAAGTGACCAAATACTTATTTTACACCATCATTTACAAATAAATTATTTAAAAATCCTACAATGTGAATTCCTGGATTTTTTTTCACATCCTGTCTCTCACAGTTGAAGTGAACCTATGATGAACAGACCTGTCATTATTTTAAGTGGGAGAACTTGCACAATCGGTGGCTGACTAAATACTTTTTGCCCTACTGTATGTGTTATATATATATATATATATATATATATATATATATATATATAATATATATATATATATATATATATAACATCTGTGTGTAACCTTTGTGTGTGTGTGTAGGTGCGGTCCCAGGCCCTGAAGGCCCTGAACATGGCGCACACAGTCGGACCGCGCTCCACAGTGTTTCCTGTGGACGACATCGTGAGGATGTTGATGTTTCAGAACTCTGACCAAGCCTCGGCTTTTATACAACAGTTTGGACTCAACGTTAGTGACGGGTGAGAGACCAGAGCGAGAGAGACCAGAGCGAGAGAGAGACCAGAGCGAGAGAGACCAGAGCGAGAGAGACCAGAGCGAGAGAGAGACCAGAGCGAGAGAGAGACCAGAGCGAGCGAGAGAGACCAGAGCGAGCGAGAGAGACCAGAGCGAGCGAGAGAGACCAGAGCGAGCGAGAGACCAGAGCGAGAGAGACCAGAGCGAGAGAGAGACCAGAGCGAGAGAGAGACCAGAGCGAGAGAGAGACCAGAGCGAGAGAGAGACCAGAGCGAGAGAGAGACCAGAGCGAGAGAGAGACCAGAGCGAGAGAGAGACCAGAGCGAGAGAGAGACCAGAGCGAGAGAGAGACCAGAGCGAGAGAGACCAGATTGAGAGAGACCAGAGCGAGAGAGACCAGAGCGAGAGAGACCAGAGCGAGAGAGAGACCAGAGCGAGAGAGAGGCCAGAGCGAGAGAGAGGCCAGAGCGAGAGAGAGGCCAGAGCGAGAGAGAGAGGCCAGAGCGAGAGAGAAGCCAGAGCGAGAGAAAGAGGCCAGAGCGAGCGAGGCCAGAGCGAGAGAGACCAGAGCGAGAGAGACCAGAGCGAGAGAGACCAGAGAGAGAGAGAGAGAGGCCAGAGCGAGAGAGAGAGAGAGGCCAGAGCGAGAAAGAGAGAGAGGCCAGAGCGAGAGAGAGAGAGAGGCCCGAGCGAGAGAGAGAGAGAGGCCAGAGCGAGAGAGAGAGAGAGGCCAGAGCAAGAGAGAGAGAGGCCAGAGCGAGAGAGAGAGAGAGAGGCCAGAGCGAGAGAGAGAGAGAGAGGCCAGAGAGACCAGAGCGAGAGGGAGACCAGAGCGAGAGGGAGGCCAGAGAGAGAGAGAGAGAGAGAGGCCAGAGCGAGAAAGACCAGAGGAAAGAGACCAGAGCGAGAGAGACCAGAGCGAGAGAGAGAGAGAGGCCAGAGCGAGACAGAGAGAGAGAGAGGCCAGAGCGAGAGGGAGAGAGAGGCCAGAGCAAGAGGGAGACCAGAGCGAGAGAGGCCAGAGCGAGAGAGAGAGGCCAGAGCGAGAGAGGCCAGAGCGAGAGAGAGAGAGAGGCCAGAGCGAGAGAGAGAGAGAGGCCAGAGCGAGAGAGAGAGAGAGGCCAGAGCGAGGAGAGAGAGAGAGAGAGAGAGAGGCCAGAGCGAGAGAGGCCAGAGCGAGAGGGAGACCAGAGTGAGAGGGAGAGAGAGACCAGAGCGAGAGGGAGAGAGAGACCAGAGCGAGAGGGAGAGAGAGGCCAGAGAGAGAGAGAGAGGCCAGAGCGAGAGAGAGAGAGAGGCCAGAGCGAGAGAGAGAGAGAGGCCAGAGCGAGAGAGAGAGAGGCCAGAGCAAGAGAGAGAGAGAGAGAGAAGCGAGAGGGCCAGAGCGAGAGGGAGACCAGAGCGAGAGGGAGACCAGAGCGAGAGGGAGACCAGAGCGAGAGGGAGACCAGAGCGAGAGGGAGACCAGAGCGAGAGGGAGACCAGAGCGAGAGGGAGACCAGAGCGAGAGGGAGACCAGAGCGAGAGGGAGACCAGAGCGAGAGGGAGACCAGAGCGAGAGGGAGACCAGAGCGAGAGGGAGACCAGAGCGAGAGGGAGACCAGAGCGAGAGAGAGCCAGAGCGAGAGAGAGGCCAGAGCGAGAGAGAGAGGCCAGAGCGAGAGAGAGAGGCCAGAGCGAGAGAGAGAGGCCAGAGCGAGAGAGAGAGGCCAGAGCGAGAGAGAGAGGCCAGAGCGAGAGAGAGAGGCCAGAGCGAGAGAGAGAGAGAGGCCAGAGCGAGAGAGAGAGAGGCCAGAGAGAGAGAGAGGCCAGAGCGAGAGAGAGAGAGAGAGAGGCCAGAGCGAGAGAGAGAGAGGCAGAGAGAGAGAGGCCAGAGAGAGAGAGAGAGAGAGAGAGAGGCCAGAGCGAGAGAGAGAGAGAGGCCAGAGCGAGAGAGAGAGAGAGAGACAGAGAGAGGCCAGAGCGACAGAGAGAAGCCAGAGCGAGAGAGAGCCAGAGAGAGAGAGAGAGAGAGGCCAGAGCGAGAGAGAGAGAGAGAGGCCAGAGCGAGAGAGAGAGAGAGAGAGGCCAGAGCGAGAGAGAGAGAGGCCAAAGCGACAGAGAGAGAGAGAGGCCAAAGCGACAGAGAGAGAGAGGCCAGAGCGAGAGAGAGAGAGAGGCCAAAGCGAGAGAGAGAGAGGCCAAAGCGAGAGAGAGAGAGAGGCCAGAGCGAGAAAGAGGCCAGAACGACAGAGAGAGAGAGGCCAGAGCGACAGAGAGAGGCCAAAGCGAGAGAGAGGCCAAAGCGACAGAGAGAGAGAGGCCAAAGCGAGAGAGAGAGAGGCCAAAGCGAGAGAGAGAGAGGCCAAAGCGACAGAGAGAGAGAGAGAGGCCAGAGCGACAGAGAGAGAGAGAGGCCAGAGCGACAGAGAGAGAGAGGCCAGAGCGAGAGAGAGAGGGGCCAAAGCGAGAGAGAGAGAGACCAAAGCGAGAGAGAGAGAGGCCAAAGCGAGAGAGAGAGAGGCCAAAGCAGAGAGAGAGAGGCCAGAGCGAGAGAGAGAGAGGCCAGAGCGACAGAGAGAGAGAGAGAGGCCAAAGCGACAGAGAGAGAGGCCAAAGCGAGAGAGAGGCCAAAGCGACAGAGAGAGAGAAGCCAAAGCGAAGCGAGAGAGAGAGAGGCCAAAGCGACAGAGAGAGAGAGGCCAAAGCGACAGAGAGAGAGAGGCCAAAGCGAGAGCGAGAGAGAGGCCAAAGCGAGAGCGAGAGAGAGAGGCCAAAGCGACAGAGAGAGAGGCCAAAGCGACAGAGAGAGAGGCCAAAGCGACAGAGAGAGAGAAGCCAAAGCGAGAGAGAGAGAGGCCAAAGCGAGAGAGAGAGAGAGAGGCCAAAGCGACAGAGAGAGAGAGGCCAAAGCGACAGAGAGAGAGAGGCCAAAGCGACAGAGAGAGAGAAGCCAGAGCGAGAGAGGGAGAGGCCAGAGCGAGAGAGAGAGAGGCCAGAGCGAGAGAGAGAGAGAAGCCAGAGCGAGAGAGAGAGAGGCCAGAGCGAGAGAGAGAGAGAGGCCAGAGCGAGAGAGGGAGAGGCCAGAGCGAGAGAGAGAGAGAGAGGCCAAAGCGACAGAGAGAGAGAGGCCAAAGCGACAGAGAGAGAGAGGCCAAAGCGACAGAGAGAGAGAGGCCAAAGCGACAGAGAGAGAGAAGCCAGAGCGAGAGAGGGAGAGGCCAGAGCGAGAGAGAGAGAGAAGCCAGAGCGAGAGAGAGAGAGGCCAGAGCGAGAGAGAGAGAGAGGCCAGAGCGAGAGAGGGAGAGGCCAGAGCGAGAGAGAGAGAGAGGCCAAAGCGAGAGAGAAGCCAGAGCGAGAGAGACCAGAGTGTAATGAGATTGTGGTGTCCGCAGACTGGTGGAGCTGAGTCGTCCCAGTTTCCAGGAGCCTGAGATCCCGGTGCTGTCGCACAGGTCTGAGCTGATCCTGTCCAAGCGCAGGGTCCTGGTGGGGGAGGTGGTCCACGGGGGGGCCCTCCCCACCCCCCCTCACCACACCCCAGTCTGCAGCTTCGACTCCCTGAACCGCTACAGGGACGAGCCCCAGGCCACCACCCTCTGCTCAGGTACCCCCTCTGTCCAGGCCCCCCCTCTGTCCAGCCCCCCCCCTCTGCTCAGGTACCCCCCTCTGCTCAGGTACCCCCCTCTGCTCAGGTACCCCCCTCTGCTCAGGCTCCCCCTCTGCTCAGGTACCCCCCTCTGCTCAGGTACCCCCTCTGTCCAGGCCCCCCCTCTGTCCAGGCCCCCCCCTCTGCTCAGGTACCCCCCTCTGCTCAGGTACCCCCCTCTGCTCAGGTACCCCCCTCTGTCCAGGCCCCCCCTCTGCTCAGGTACCCCCCTCTGCTCAGGTACCCCCCTCTGCTCAGGTACCACCCTCTGCTCAGGTACCCCCTCTGTCCAGGCCCCCCCTCTGTCCAGGCCCCCCCCTCTGCTCAGGTACCCCCCTCTGCTCAGGTACCCCCCTCTGCTCAGGTACCCCCCTCTGTCCAGGCCCCCCCTCTGCTCAGGTACCCCCCTCTGCTCAGGTACCCCCCTCTGCTCAGGTACCCCCCTCTGCTCAGGTACCCCCTCTGCTCAGGTACCCCCCTCTGTCCAGGCCCCCCCTCTGTCCAGGCCCCCCCTCTGCTCAGGTACCCCCCTCTGTCCAGGCCCCCCTCTTCAGGCCCCCCTCTGCTCAGGTACCCCCCTCTGCTCAGGTACCCCCCTCTGCTCAGGTACCCCCCTCTGCTCAGGTACCCCCCTCTGCTCAGGTACCCCCCTCTGTCCAGGCCCCCCCTCTGCTCAGGTACCCCCCTCTGCTCAGGTACCCCCCTCTGTCCAGGCCCCACCCTCTGTCCAGGCCCCACCCTCTGTTCAGGCCCCACCCTCTGTCCAGGCCCCACCCTCTGCTCAGGCCCCACCCTCTGCTCAGGCCCCACCCTCTGCTCAAGCCCCACCCTCTGTCCAGGCCCCACCCTCTGTCCAGGCCCCACCCTCTGTCCAGGCCCCACCCCCTGTCCAGGCCCCACCCTCTGTCCAGGCCCCACCCTCTGTCCAGGCCCTCTGTCCAGGCCCCACCCTCTGCTCAAGCCCCACCCTCTGTCCAGGCCCCACCCCCTGTCCAGGCCCCACCCTCTGTCCAGGCCCCACCCCCTGTCCAGGCCCCACCCTCTGTCCAGGCCCCACCCTCTGTCCAGGCCCCACCCTCTGTCCAGGCCCCCCCCCCTCTGTCCAAGTACCACCCTCTCTCCAAGTACCACCCTGCGTGCAGAGAGAGACTGGAGTGACAGAGAGAGAGACTGGAGTGGAGTGACCAGAGAGAGAGACTGGAGTGACCAGAGAGAGAGACTGGAGTGACCAGAGAGAGAGACTGGAGTGACCAGAGAGAGAGACTGGAGTGACCAGAGAGAGAGACTGGAGTGACCAGAGAGAGAGACTGGAGTGACCAGAGAGAGAGACTGGAGTGACCAGAGAGAGAGACTGGAGTGACCAGAGAGAGAGACTGGAGTGACCAGAGAGAGACTGGAGTGACCAGAGAGAGAGACTGGAGTGACCAGAGAGAGAGACTGGAGTGACCAGAGAGAGAGACTGGAGGGACCAGAGAGAGAGACTGGAGAGACTAGAAAGAGACATGGGGGACTAGAGCGAAAGAGACACTAGTGAGCGAGGGAGAGACCATAGGATGTTAGTCTTAACAACCGACCAATCAGGAGCCTTCTGTCTCTGAATCTGACTTTAGCTTTAGCTGACCTTGTGCAGATCTCACAAGGTCAGCGACTCTGAGTTAGCAAGAAGGCACAAAGAATCCAGAGGTTGGACACGCCTGTAACGAACACAAATTAATATGTCCATTTTGTTTCTTTGTGTTTTTCTGTGCAGCCTCAGACTCTGCTCCTCCGTCTCCTGACGCTCCAACGCCCTCGCAGCCTCCAACGCCCTCGCAGCCCCCAACGCCCTCGCAGCCCCCAACGCCCTCGCAGCTCCCAACGCCCTCGCAGCCCCCGCCGGACTCCCAGGACAGACCCTCTGTGTTTGGGGCTGTGGTGGTCCAGTCTCTCCCTGTTGCTCCAGAGAAAGAACCAGAGGAGACCGGGGAGACGGCGGCGTTCGTCCCAGCTCCGGAGACTCTCTTCCAGCCGATACCACAGCCCTCCCCCCCTGCCCCAGTCCGAGCTCCCACTCCCCCCCCTCCCCAGCCAGTCTACAGCCACGAGGCAAGTCCACTATCTCTGCCTTATGAGTGCCTTTACAAAGATCTCTCTCCTTTATGTAAAACCAGCGCAGTCCCACTTAGACTCAGACTCTGGAGAGTCTGGCCCCAGAGAGAGAAGGCGGAGAGACTATTTTATATGTGTTTAGTGGTAGAGGAAACCTGGAGTACCTGGAGGAAACCTTTACAGACACTACCTGGAGGTGAAATCTTACCCTGGACCACAAGTGCTAACCACTGCTCCACTGTGCCGCCCCATATTGGAAATTAGGGTTGTGCTAAAACAAAAATATATACATTTTTTAACTTTGATACAATATTTTTTATTTTGGATTTTGATGAATTAAGTGTTTGATACTATTCTAGAAGCACTGTCTTTCATTTATTTTTAAGTACTATTTAGTTGAGTGGATTTGCCGAAAGCGTGTTGTACAGTAACTAAAGCGGACCAAGGATAGACCCCTGGGGAACCCCACGGAAAGACTCAAACACAGACATCCGTCAGAGACATTTTATTTAGAATTATTGTTCTAGTGTTTTGGAAAAGTTACGAGACAAAGAAGCTCCTCACATCAGCTCAGGATGTGAGACCAGAGCAGTCAGACCGGTTTGGAAGTAACACAGAATAATGTCCTTATTTTACTCCCCAGCTTTGTAAAGTGACTGTGAGCCACTTTTGAATGTGTTTTGTGTGTCTCAGGAGGTGGAGGCCGAGGTGGACGGTCTGCTGGAGGAGGTGGTGGTCGCTGTAGTGAGGGAGATATCTGAAGCCGCCGCCTGCTACACGTCTGCTGCGCTGGCGTGAGTAAACATACTTTACACGTGAAGAGAGTGTGAGACGGGGACCAGAGAGTGTGAGACCAGAGAGTGTGGGACCGGGACCAGAGAGTGTGAGACGGGGACCAGAGACCAGAGAGTGTGGGACCAGAGACCAGAGAGTGTGGGACCGGGACCAGAGAGTGTGGGACCGGGACCAGAGAGTGTGGGACCGGGACCAGAGAGTGTGAGACCAGAGAGTTTGGGACCGGGACCAGAGAGTGTGGGACCGGGACCAGAGAGTGTGAGACCGGGACCAGAGTGTGTGAGACCAGAGAGTGTGGGACCGGGACCAGAGAGTGTGAGACCAGACCAGTGTGGGACCGGGACCAGAGAGTGTGAGACCAGAGAGTGTGGGACCGGGACCAGAGAGTGTGTGGGACCAGAGAGTGTGGGACCGGGACCAGAGAGAGTGTGAGACGGGGACCAGAGACCAGAGAGTGTGGGACGGGGACCAGAGAGTGTGGGACGGGGACCAGAGAGTGTGGGACGGGGGACCAGAGAGTGTGGGACGGGGACCAGAGAGTGTGGGGGGACGGGACCAGAGAGTGTGGGACGGGGACCAGAGAGTGTGGGACGGGGACCAGAGAGGTGGACGGGACCAGAGAGTGTGGGACGGGGACCAGAGAGTGTGGGACGGGGACCAGAGGTGGACGGGACCAGAGAGTGTGGGACCGGGACCAGAGAGTGTGGGACGGGGACCAGAGAGTGTGGGACGGGGACCAGAGAGTGTGGGACGGGGACCAGAGAGTGTGGGACGGGGACCAGAGAGTGTGGGACGGGGACCAGAGAGTGTGGGACGGAGACCAGAGAGTGTGGGACGGGGACCAGAGAGTGTGGGACGGGGACCAGAGAGTGTGGGACGGAGACCAGAGAGTGTGGGACGGGGACCAGAGAGTGTGAGACGGGGACCAGAGACCAGAGTGTGTGGGACCGGGACCAGAGTGTGTGAGACGGGGACCAGAGTGTGTGAGACGGGGACCAGAGAGTGTGTGACGGGGACCAGAGAGTGTGAGACGGGGACCAGAGACCAGAGAGTGTGGGACCGGGACCAGAGAGTGTGGGACCGGGACCAGAGAGTGTGAGACCGGGACCAGAGTGTGTGAGACCGGGACCAGAGACCAGAGAGTGTGTGAGACCGGGACCAGAGAGTGTGAGAGACCGGGACCAGAGACCAGAGAGTGTGAGACGGGGACCAGAGAGTGTGAGACGGGGACCAGAGAGTGTGGGACCGGGACCAGAGAGTGTGAGACGGGGACCAGAGTGTGTGAGACGGGGACCAGAGAGTGTGAGACGGGGACCAGAGAGTGTGAGACGGGGACCAGAGAGTGTGAGACGGGGACCAGAGAGTGTGAGACGGGGACCAGAGACCAGAGAGTGTGGGACCGGGACCAGAGAGTGTGAGACGGGGACCAGAGAGTGTGAGACGGGGACCAGAGAGTGTGAGACGGGGACCAGAGACCAGAGACCAGAGAGTGTGGGACCGGGACCAGAGAGTGTGGGACCGGGACCAGAGAGTGTGAGACCGGGACCAGAGAGTGTGAGACCGGGACCAGAGTGTGTGAGACCGGGACCAGAGTGTGTGAGACCGGGACCAGAGTGTGTGAGACCGGGACCAGAGACCAGAGAGTGTGTGAGACCGGGACCAGAGAGTGTGAGAGACCGGGACCAGAGACCAGAGAGTGTGAGACGGGGACCAGAGAGTGTGAGACGGGGACCAGAGAGTGTGGGACCGGGACCAGAGAGTGTGAGACGGGGACCAGAGTGTGTGAGACGGGGACCAGAGAGTGTGAGACGGGGACCAGAGAGTGTGAGACGGGGACCAGAGAGTGTGAGACGGGGACCAGAGAGTGTGAGACGGGGACCAGAGAGTGTGAGACGGGGACCAGAGAGTGTGAGACGGGGACCAGAGAGTGTGAGACGGGGACCAGAGAGTGTGAGACGGGGACCAGAGAGTGTGAGACGGGGACCAGAGAGTGTGAGACGGGGACCAGAGAGTGTGAGACGGGGACCAGAGAGTGTGAGACGGGGACCAGAGAGCGTGAGACGGGGACCAGAGAGCGTGAGACGGGGACCAGAGAGCGTGAGACGGGGACCAGAGAGCGTGAGACGGGGACCAGAGAGCGTGAGACGGGGACCAGAGAGCGTGAGACGGGGACCAGAGAGCGTGAGACGGGGACCAGAGAGCGTGAGACGGGGACCAGAGAGCGTGAGACGGGGACCAGAGAGCGTGAGACGGGGACCAGAGAGCGTGAGACGGGGACCAGAGAGCGTGAGACGGGGACCAGAGAGCGTGAGACGGGGACCAGAGAGCGTGAGACGGGGACCAGAGAGGTGAGACGGGGACCAGAGAGCGTGAGACGGGGACCAGAGAGCGTGAGACGGGGACCAGAGAGCGTGAGACGGGGACCAGAGAGCGTGAGACGGGGACCAGAGAGCGTGAGACGGGGACCAGAGAGCGTGAGACGGGGACCAGAGAGCGTGAGACGGGGACCAGAGAGCGTGAGACGGGGACCGGAGAGAGAGCGTGAGACGGGGACCAGAGAGCGTGAGACGGGGACCAGAGAGCGTGAGACGGGGACCAGAGAGCGTGAGACGGGGACCAGAGAGCGTGAGACGGGGACCAGAGAGCGTGAGACGGGGACCAGAGAGCGTGAGACGGGGACCAGAGAGCGTGAGACGGGGACGGAGGGAGAGAGAGCGTGAGACGGGGACCAGAGAGCGTGAGACGGGGACCAGAGAGCGTGAGGGGGACCAGAGAGCGTGAGACGGGACCAGAGAGCGTGAGACGGGGACCAGAGAGCGTGAGACCGGGACCAGAGACCAGAGTGTGTGAGACGGGGACCAGAGTGTGTGAGACGGGGACCAGAGAGTGTGAGACGGGGACCAGAGAGTGTGAGACGGGGACCGGGACCAGAGACCGGGACCAGAGAGTGTGAGACGGGGGCCAGAGAGTGTGAGACGGGGACCAGAGACCGGGACCAGAGTGTGTGAGACGGGGACCAGAGAGTGTGAGACGGGGACCAGAGACCGGGACCAGAGACCGGGACCAGAGTGTGTGAGACCGGGACCAGAGAGTGTGAGACGGGGACCAGAGAGTGTGAGACCGGGACCAGAGAGTGTGAGACGGGGACCAGAGTGTGTGAGACGGGGACCAGAGACCGGGACCAGAGACCGGGACCAGAGAGTGTGAGACGGGGGCCAGAGAGTGTGAGACGGGGACCAGAGACCGGGACCAGAGACCGGGACCAGAGTGTGTGAGACGGGGACCAGAGAGTGTGAGACGGGGACCAGAGACCGGGACCAGAGACCGGGACCAGAGTGTGTGAGACCGGGACCAGAGAGTGTGAGACGGGGACCAGAGTGTGTGAGACCGGGACCAGAGTGTGTGAGACCGGGACCAGAGTGTGTGAGACGGGGACCAGAGTGTGTGAGACGGGGACCAGAGAGTGTGAGACGGGGACCAGAGAGTGTGAGACGGGGACCAGAGAGTGTGAGACGGGGACCAGAGAGTGTGAGACGGGGACCAGAGAGTGTGAGACGGGGACCAGAGAGTGTGAGACGGGGACCAGAGAGTGTGAGACGGGGACCAGAGAGTGTGAGACGGGGACCAGAGAGTGTGAGACGGGGACCAGAGAGTGTGAGACGGGGACCAGAGAGTGTGAGACGGGGACCAGAGAGCGTGAGACGGGGACCAGAGAGTGTGAGACGGGGACCAGAGAGTGTGAGACGGGGACCAGAGTGTGTGAGACGGGGACCAGAGTGTGTGAGACGGGGACCAGAGAGTGTGAGACCGGGACCAGAGACCAGAGTGTGTGAGACGGGGACCAGAGAGTGTGAGACGGGGACCAGAGAGTGTGAGACGGGGACCAGAGAGTGTGAGACGGGGACCAGAGACCGGGACCAGAGACCGGGACCAGAGAGTGTGAGACGGGGACCAGAGACCGGGACCAGAGACCAGAGAGTGTGAGACCGGGACCAGAGAGTGTGAGACGGGGACCAGAGTGTGTGAGACGGGGACCAGAGTGTGTGAGACCGGGACCAGAGTGTGTGAGACCGGGACCAGAGTGTGTGAGACCGGGACCAGAGTGTGTGAGACCGGGACCAGAGTGTGTGAGACCGGGACCAGAGTGTGTGAGACCGGGACCAGAGAGTGTGAGACCGGGACCAGAGAGTGTGAGACGGGGACCAGAGTGTGTGAGACGGGGACCAGAGACCGGGACCAGAGACCGGGACCAGAGAGTGTGAGACGGGGGCCAGAGAGTGTGAGACGGGGACCAGAGACCGGGACCAGAGACCGGGACCAGAGTGTGTGAGACGGGGACCAGAGAGTGTGAGACGGGGACCAGAGACCGGGACCAGAGACCGGGACCAGAGTGTGTGAGACCGGGACCAGAGAGTGTGAGACGGGGACCAGAGTGTGTGAGACCGGGACCAGAGTGTGTGAGACCGGGACCAGAGTGTGTGAGACGGGGACCAGAGTGTGTGAGACGGGGACCAGAGAGTGTGAGACGGGGACCAGAGAGTGTGAGACGGGGACCAGAGAGTGTGAGACGGGGACCAGAGAGTGTGAGACGGGGACCAGAGAGTGTGAGACGGGGACCAGAGAGTGTGAGACGGGGACCAGAGAGTGTGAGACGGGGACCAGAGAGTGTGAGACGGGGACCAGAGAGTGTGAGACGGGGACCAGAGAGTGTGAGACGGGGACCAGAGAGTGTGAGACGGGGACCAGAGAGTGTGAGACGGGGACCAGAGAGCGTGAGACGGGGACCAGAGAGTGTGAGACGGGGACCAGAGAGTGTGAGACGGGGACCAGAGAGTGTGAGTCGGGAACCAGAGACCGGGACCAGAGAGTGTGAGACCGGGACCAGAGAGTGTGAGACGGGGACCAGAGAGTGTGAGACGGGGACCAGAGAGTGTGAGACGGGGACCAGAGAGTGTGAGACGGGGACCAGAGAGTGTGAGACGGGGACCAGAGAGTGTGAGACGGGGACCAGAGAGTGTGAGACGGGGACCAGAGAGTGTGAGACGGGAACCAGAGACCGGGACCAGAGAGTGTGAGACCGGGACCAGAGAGTGTGAGACGGGGACCAGAGAGTGTGAGACGGGGACCAGAGAGTGTGAGACGGGGACCAGAGAGTGTGAGACGGGGACCAGAGAGTGTGAGACGGGGACCAGAGAGTGTGAGACGGGGACCAGAGAGTGTGAGACGGGGACCAGAGAGTGTGAGACGGGGACCAGAGAGTGTGAGACGGGGACCAGAGAGTGTGAGACGGGGACCAGAGAGTGTGAGACGGGGACCAGAGTGTGCGAGACGGGGACCAGAGTGTGCGAGACGGGGACCAGAGTGTGCGAGACCGGGACCAGAGGTGAGGAGTGTGTGAGACCGGGACCAGAGTGTGTGAGACCGGGACCAGAGTGTGTGAGACCGGGACCAGAGTGTGTGAGACCGGGACCAGAGTGTGTGAGACCGGGACCAGAGTGTGTGAGACCGGGACCAGAGTGTGTGAGACCGGGACCAGAGTGTGTGAGACCGGGACCAGAGTGTGTGAGACCGGGACCAGAGGTGTGGACCGGGACCAGAGTGTGTGAGACCGGGACCAGAGTGTGTGAGACCGGGACCAGAGTGTGTGAGACCGGGACCAGAGTGTGTGAGACCGGGACCAGAGTGTGTGAGACCGGGACCAGAGTGTGTGAGACCGGGACCAGAGTGTGTGAGACCGGGACCAGAGTGTGTGAGACCGGGACCAGAGTGTGTGAGACCGGGACCAGAGTGTGTGAGACCGGGACCAGAGTGTGTGAGACGGGACCAGAGTGTGTGAGACCGGGACCAGAGTGTGTGAGACCGGGACCAGAGTGTGTGAGACCGGGACCAGAGTGTGTGAGACCGGGACCAGAGTGTGTGAGACCGGGACCAGAGTGTGTGAGACCGGGACCAGAGTGTGTGAGACCGGGACCAGAGTGTGTGAGACCGGGACCAGAGTGTGTGAGACCGGGACCAGAGTGTGTGAGACCGGGACCAGAGTGTGTGAGACCGGGACCAGAGTGTGTGAGACCGGGACCAGAGTGTGTGAGACCGGGACCAGAGTGTGTGAGACCGGGACCAGAGTGTGTGAGACCGGGACCAGAGTGTGTGAGACCGGGACCAGAGTGTGTGAGACCGGGACCAGAGTGTGTGAGACCGGGACCAGAGTGTGTGAGACCGGGACCAGAGTGTGTGAGACCGGGACCAGAGTGTGTGAGACCGGGACCAGAGTGTGTGAGACCGGGACCAGAGTGTGTGAGACCGGGACCAGAGTGTGTGAGACCGGGACCGAGAGTGTGTGTGAGACCGGGACCAGAGTGTGTGAGACCGGGACCAGAGTGTGTGAGACCGGGACCAGAGTGTGTGAGACCGGGACCAGAGTGTGTGAGACCGGGACCAGAGTGTGTGAGACCGGGACCAGAGTGTGTGAGACCGGGACCAGAGTGTGTGAGACCGGGACCAGAGTGTGTGAGACCGGGACCAGAGTGTGTGAGACGGGGACCAGAGTGTGTGAGACGGGGACCAGAGTGTGTGAGACCGGGACCAGAGAGTGTGAGACGGGGACCAGAGACCAGAGAGCGTAAGACCGGGACCTAGACCTGGACTGAACTAAGACCAGGACCAGAACAATGAATTGCAGTTGCAGAAACGAGACTAGACCAGGTCCGATGACATCATACTGTTCCAGGACTGAGACTGGAGCGTTTAGACAGAAGGGGCGGGGCTACATGTTTGTGCCAGAAGTGATGTTGGCATGGATGGAGCTAAACACAGCTCCAGGTCCATGGCTGATGAGGGATAATGTTGGAACATGGATTTAAGTGAGAGAAAAGTTTAGTACAAACTTTTAAAACGTAAATCATATATTTGTCTTAAAGGATTATAGTTGTCTTTGGTTTTTTATTGTTATACTTTCATTTATTAATTATTAGTGTTTGTTTTGTGCAGAGTGAGCGCGGAGCAGGTGGACTCTGTCGTGGCTGAAGTCGCCGTGAATCTTCTGAAGGAGATTTCCACGACTGAAATGGGACTAGAACGAGACCGAATCCGAGAGGAGAGGCGGCGCTTGGAAGAGGCCAGGTAACCACCAGGTCCAACACAAACCATCTCTCTCTGGTCTCTCTCTCTGGTCTCTCTCTCTGGTCTCTCTTTCTGGTCTCTCTCTCTGGTCTCTCTCTCTGGTCTTTCTCTCTGGTCTCTCTCTCTGGTCTCTCTTAGGTCTCTCTCTCTGGTCTCTCTCTGGTCTCTCTCTGGTCTCTCTCTCTGGTCTCTCTCTCTGGTCTCTCTCTCTGGTCTCTCTCTCTGGTCTCTCTCTGGTCTCTCTCTGGTCTCTCTCTCTGGTCTCTCTCTCTGGTCTCTCTCTCTGGTCTCTCTCTGGTCTCTCTCTCTGGTCTCTCTCTTAGGTCTCTTTCTTAGGTCTCTCTCTCTGGTCTCTCTCTCTTGTCTCTCTCTCTGGTCTCTCTGGTCTCTCTCTCTCTGGTCTCTCTCTGGTCTCTCTCTCTGGTCTCTCTCTCTGGTCTTTCTCTGGTCTCTCTCTCTGGTCTCTCTCTCTGGTCTCTCTCTCTGGTCTCTCTCTCTGGTCTCTCTCTCTGGTCTCTCTCTCTGGGTTAATGATGATGTTATACTTGGAAACGACATAGAGAGACTTGGATAGAATGAATATCTGAGAGAGAGATGTCTTGTTCTCAGGAGGAAGCAGGAGCACGAGGCCTTCCTGGTGGACTACAGTTTCTCTCTTTGCTCGCAGCTCATTTACGAAGTTCTGGACGAGACCATCGAGAAAACTGCTGCCACAGAAATACAGTAAGATTTAACTATAGCCCCATTCACACTGAGCAAAAACATCCTTACAAACAAAGAGTGGCCTCAAACACTGCTTAGTGTTAAACCTTTGATCATCAGACTCCACAGACTCCACAAGTGGGAGCACAGCTGGTGTCTGACCGAATAGATGTCCCCACTGTACATAGATACAGACACATTAAAGTGCTGTGTTCTCAGGTCTGCAGTGGAGCAGAGACATTAAAGTGCTGTGTTCTCAGGTCTGCGGTGGAGGAGAGACATTAAAGTGCTGTGTTCTCAGGTCTGCAGTGGAGGAGAGACATTAAAGTGCTGTGTTCTCAGGTCTGCAGTGGAGCAGAGACATTAAAGTGCTGTGTTCTCAGGTCTGCGGTGGAGGAGAGACATTAAAGTGCTGTGTTCTCAGGTCTGCGGTGGAGGAGAGACATTAAAGTGCTGTGTTCTCAGGTCTGCGGTGGAGCAGAGACATTAAAGTGCTGTGTTCTCAGGTCTGCGGTGGAGCAGAGACATTAAAGTGCTGTGTTCTCAGGTCTGCGGTGGAGCAGAGACATTAAAGTGCTGTGTTCTCAGGTCTGAGGTGGAGCAGAGACATTAAAGTGCTGTGTTCTCAGGTCTGCAGTGGAGCAGAGACATTAAAGTGCTGTGTTCTCAGGTCTGCGGTGGAGCAGAGACATTAAAGTGCTGTGTTCTCAGGTCTGCAGTGGAGGAGAGACATTAAAGTGCTGTGTTCTCAGGTCTGCAGTGGAGGAGAGACATTAAAGTGCTGTGTTCTCAGGTCTGCAGTGGAGCAGAGACATTAAAGTGCTGTGTTCTCAGGTCTGCGGTGGAGCAGAGACATTAAAGTGCTGTGTTCTCAGGTCTGCAGTGGAGCAGAGACATTAAAGTGCTGTGTTCTCAGGTCTGCAGTGGAGCAGAGACATTAAAGTGCTGTGTTCTCAGGTCTGCGGTGGAGCAGAGACATTAAAGTGCTGTGTTCTCAGGTCTGCAGTGGAGGAGAGACATTAAAGTGCTGTGTTCTCAGGTCTGCAGTGGAGGAGAGACATTAAAGTGCTGTGTTCTCAGGTCTGCAGTGGAGCAGAGACATTAAAGTGCTGTGTTCTCAGGTCTGCGGTGGAGCAGAGACATTAAAGTGCTGTGTTCTCAGGTCTGCAGTGGAGCAGAGACATTAAAGTGCTGTGTTCTCAGGTCTGCAGTGGAGGAGAGACATTAAAGTGCTGTGTTCTCAGGTCTGCGGTGGAGGAGAGACATTAAAGTGCTGTGTTCTCAGGTCTGCGGTGGAGCAGAGACATTAAAGTGCTGTGTTCTCAGGTCTGCGGTGGAGCAGAGACATTAAAGTGCTGTGTTCTCAGGTCTGCGGTGGAGCAGAGACATTAAAGTGCTGTGTTCTCAGGTCTGAGGTGGAGCAGAGACATTAAAGTGCTGTGTTCTCAGGTCTGCAGTGGAGCAGAGACATTAAAGTGCTGTGTTCTCAGGTCTGCGGTGGAGCAGAGACATTAAAGTGCTGTGTTCTCAGGTCTGCAGTGGAGGAGAGACATTAAAGTGCTGTGTTCTCAGGTCTGCAGTGGAGGAGAGACATTAAAGTGCTGTGTTCTCAGGTCTGCAGTGGAGCAGAGACATTAAAGTGCTGTGTTCTCAGGTCTGCGGTGGAGCAGAGACATTAAAGTGCTGTGTTCTCAGGTCTGCGGTGGAGCAGAGACATTAAAGTGCTGTGTTCTCAGGTCTGCGGTGGAGCAGAGACATTAAAGTGCTGTGTTCTCAGGTCTGCGGTGGAGGAGAGACATTAAAGTGCTGTGTTCTCAGGTCTGCGGTGGAGGAGAAGGCCGCCCTGGTGTCTCGCTGCACTGAGGACGTCTGTCGATCGTTACTGGAGGAAGCTCTGAACTCGGACATCAGTATTTTAGTGGAACAGGTGCTGGAGCTGGAGCTGCAGCGCATCCACAAGTGCATCAAGAGGTACTCTCACACCAGGACCTCTGTGGGTCAGACCAGGACCTCTGTGGGTCAGACCAGGACCTCTGTGGGTCAGACCAGGACCTCTGAGTGTGTAGAAGGAGACATGAGAGATGGACCTAAGCAGATGATTCAACTTTATATAATTACTGGGGCTGTCAAACGATTAAATGTTTTAGTTGATTAATCGCATTTTTAACATTCTATTTCAAATCCACTCCAATGGAAGTTAAATGAGATTATTAAATGTAACGACACATTGTCATTTATACCAAATGTTCTTCAATCTATTGGATACACAACCTTTACTTTGGGCACAACCAACTTGAGCTGTTAAAGGGGAAAATGTACGTACCCCAGCTTTAATTTAGTTCAGTTTAGTTTCAGGAGGACACTTCTTTCTAACCTCGGCACCATTCGCTCACAACCACCAGAGCAGCTGCCCCCGGTTAATGCGTTAATTTTGTATGTACGCGTTAATGAAAAATGTTATTAACGTGAGTTAACGCGATCATTTTGAAAGCCCTAATAATTATTGTTTCATTTGTGTTCAGACTTCGGTCATTTGAGACGAGTCTGAAAGAAAAATGTTACACATTGTTTTTGGCTTTCAAAAAATTTAGTATTTACTCTAGTCTCTCGATAGTCTCTCTCTAGTCTCTCTCTCTGGTCTCTCTCTCTGGACCCTCTAGTCTCTCTCTCTGGACCCTCTAGTCTCTCTCTCTGGACCCTCTAGTTTCTCTCTGGACTCTATATTCTCTCTCTGGTCTCTCTAGTTTCTCTCTCTGGACTCTATATTCTCTCTCTCTGGTCTCTCTAGTCTCTCTCTCTGGACCCTCTAGTTTCTCTCTGGACTCTATATTCTCTCTCTGGTCTCTCTAGTTTCTCTCTGGACTCTATATTCTCTCTCTCTCTGGTCTCTCTCTAGTCTCTCTCTCTCTGGTCTCTCTAGTCTCTCTCTCTGGTCTCTCTCTCTGGACCCTCTAGTTTCTCTCTGGACTCTATATTCTCTCTCTGGTCTCTCTCTCTGGTCTCTCTAGTCTCTCTCTAGTCTCTCTCTCTCTGGTCTCTCTCTAGTCTCTCTCCCTGTTTCTCTCTAGTCTCTCTCTCTCTGGTCTCTCTAGTCTCTCTCTGGACTCTATATTCTCTCTCTCTGGTCTCTCTAGTCTCTCTCTAGTCTCTCTCTCTCTGGTCTCTCTCTACATGCATGAGTTGGATAGTGTAATACCGCTGGTGCCCTGCAGGTGGCGTGACGTGGTGTTCCTGCGGCGGCAGCTGAAGAGGCAGATGAGAGCCTTCCCGGCCGCTCCCTGCTTCGTGGACCCCACCTTCAGGCTCCGAGCTCTGGCCCCGAGCACTGAGGCCCACACCCCCAAAGACTCTGGGGACCTCAGCCTGTCCTCCAGCAGGTCAGACCAGAGAAAGAGACCAGAGAGAGAGACCAGAGAGAGAGACCAGAGAGAGAGACCAGAGAGAGAGAGACCAGAGAGAGAGACCAGAGAGAGAGACCAGAGAGAGAGAGACCAGAGAGAGAGACCAGAGAGAGAGACCAGAGAGAGAGACCAGAGAGAGAGACCAGAGAGAGAGACCAGAGAGAGAGACCGGAGAGGGAGACCGGAGAGTGAGGCCGGAGAGTGAGGCCGGAGAGTGAGGCCGGAGAGTGAGACCGGAGAGTGAGACCGGAGAGTGAGACCGGAGAGTGAGACCGGAGAGTGAGACCAGAGAGACAGACCAGAGAGACAGATGTGTGTTTCCTCAGGCTGATGAGGATCCGGGACCAGGTGATCCACCAGATGAGAGTCCAGTACTTCTACCAGCTGCTGCTCGAGTGAGTTCAGTCATATTAAGTCAGATTTATGTGTATAGCACAAACATGTACGTGTTCCATTGACAATTACACAGATTCTACAAATTCTGACGTGTGTGTATGTGATGCGATGCGTGTGTGTGTGTGTGATGTTTGTGTGATGTGTTTGTAGTGAGGCGTCGTGGGCTCCTCTGGATCTTCCTTCGTTAGTGATAAAACACTTGAAGAATCCTCCTCCAGAAATCCTGTGGAAAACTCTGCTGCTGCTGCCGAGCGAGCACGAGACGGAGGCCAGCGTGGCCGACAGGTGAGAAACCTCTCTACAGCACTCTGCTCTCTCCTTTTTACTACATCACTCTCCTCTCTCATCTCTCCTCTTCTCTCTCTCCTCCCTCTCCTCCTCTCTCTCCTCTCTCCTCCTCTCTCCTCCTCTCTCACCTCCTCTCACCTCCTCTCTCCTCCTCTCTCCTCCTCTCTCCTCCTCTCTCCTCCTCTCTCCTCTCTCCACCTCCTCTCCTCCTCTCTCACCTCTCTCCTCCTCTCTCACCTCCTCTCTCCTCTCTCACCTCCTCTCTCCTCTCTCTCCTCCTCTCTCCTCCTCAGTACTGTTGTGTTCCTCTTTGCAGGGTGCTCTGTGATTGGCTGCAGGTGAAGTTGGGGGCGGGCTCAGAGGACAGTCCTGCTGCTGATGGGATGATTGACACTCTGAGTGTCTGCAGCTCAGTGCAGCAGAGAGAGACACACACTCACACTGTGCGCGTGGCCGTGAAGGTGACGACTGAGGCTGTAGACCCAGGACTGAGGCTGTAGACCCAGGACTGAGGCTGTAGACCCAGGACTGAGACTGTAGACCCAGGACTGAGGCTGTGGACCCAGGACTGAGGCTGTAGACCCAGGACTGAGGCTGTAGACCCAGGACTGAGGCTGTAGACCCAGGACTGAGGCTGTAGACCCAGGACTGAGGCTGTAGACCCAGGACTGAGGCTGTAGACCCAGGACTGAGGCTGTAGACCCAGGACTGAGGCTGTAGACCCAGGACTGAGGCTGTAGACCCAGGACTGAGGCTGTAGACCCAGGACCGAGGCTGTAGACCCAGGACCGAGGCTGTAGACCCAGGACCGAGGCTGTAGACCCAGGACCGAGGCTGTAGACCCAGGACCGAGGCTGTAGACCCAGGACCGAGGCTGTAGACCCAGGACCGAGGCTGTAGACCCAGGACCGAGGCTGTAGACCCAGGACCGAGGCTGTAGACCCAGGACCGAGGCTGTAGACCCAGGACCGAGGCTGTAGACCCAGGACCGAGGCTGTAGACCCAGGACCGAGGCTGTAGACCCAGGACCGAGGCTGTAGACCCAGGACCGAGGCTGTAACCCTCTCCCTTCCTCAGGTTTTGTTGGGGCCTCTGTCTGAGGTCTGTCTGGGTCAGGCGGAGGAAAGGGGAGACCTCCAGGGGACCAGGGCTCTGCTCCTGCTGCTCCCAGCCTCAGCTCTGCTCCCTGGCCCTGAGGACGTGTGTCTTCTGTCCGCTCTGCTGCAGCTCAGACAGCTCCAGCAGAGCAGCTCCTGGCACTGGGCCGTCCCACTGGTCGTCCTGGTGCCAGGGAGAGACGGGGGACCAGGACACACTCAGGCATTGGCACAAGGTGAGACATGGACCAGGACAGGACCAGGACAAGACCAGGACAGGACCAGGACCAGGACAGGACCAGGACAGGACCAGGACAGGACCAGGACAGGACCAGGACAGGACCAGGACAGGGATAATGTTGTGTGTGTCTTCAGCTCTGATGTTGCCCAAACTGGTGGAGGACGGTCTTCTCTCTGAATACACATTCTACTTCCTCCCTGAAACAACCAGTGACCTGCAGGGCTCCAGACAGGTGCGCGTGTGTATCTGTGTGTGTGCGCGCGTGTGTGTGTGTCTGTCCGTCTGTGTGTGTGTGTGTCTGTCTGTGCGCGTGTGTGTGTATTTGTCTGTGCGTGTGTGTGTATGTGTGTGTGTGTATTTGTCTGTGCATGTGTGCGTATGTGTGGATTAGTAGGTCCTTGTGAGCTAGTGTCTACTAGACTAACCCCTACAGATCTAGGGTTAGTCTCTCTGGTGTCTCTCTCTGGTCTCTCTCTGGTCTCTCTCTGGTCTCTCTCTGGTCTCTCTGGTCTCTCTGGTCTCTCTCTCTGGTCTCTCTCTGGTCTCTCTCTGGTCTCTCTCTGGTCTCTCTCTGGTCTCTCTCTGGTCTCTCTCTGGTCTCTCTCTGGTCTCTCTCTGGTCTCTCTCTGGTCTCTCTCTGGTCTCTCTCTGGTCTCTCTCTGGTCTCTCTCTGGTCTCTCTGGTCTCTCTCTCTGGTCTCTCTCTGGTCTCTCTGGTCTCTCTCTTTGGTCTCTCTGGTCTCTCTCTGGTCTCTCTCTGGTCTCTCTGGTCTCTCTCTTTGGTCTCTCTGGTCTCTCTCTGGTTTCTCTCTGGTCTCTCTCTTTGGTCTCTCTGGTCTCTCTCTGGTCTCTCTCTGGTCTCTCTGGTCTCTCTCTCTGGATGTTGATGTCCTGTCTCCTTCTTTCCACAGTTGTGTCTGTCTCTGCGGTGGCTGCTCTCCCGCTCTCCCCCGTCTCCCCCTCTCTCCCCTCTCACTCTGGTGCAGTTGGTGGAGTGCTCTCTTCATGGTGACTTCAGCGCCCGGGTCCTGGCTCAGCGGCAGGAGCGAGCCGCTGCTGGTCTGCCTCCACAGCGCCCCCAGGCTGTCATCCGCCTGTACAACGCTCTGCTGGCACACGTGGCCGCCGCAGTCTCCGCCCCCGAACTGAGCCGGCTGTCATGGCCGCCGCTGGAGTTCTGCGTCCCGGAGACCAGAGCGTTCGTGCCTCCCGCCGGCTGGAACCAGACCCAGCACCTGGACTGGCTCCGGGAGGCGGTACTGAGTCTACAGCTGCCAGAGTGGGACGACAGCGCCCCCACAGGTCAGAGAGCGCAACAGCACATTATCAACGTTTGTTAGTCTCAATAGAGAGTCTGGTGTCTCTCTGGTCTCTCTCTGGTCTCTCTCTGGTCTCTCTCTGGTCTCTCTCTGGTCTCTCTTTGGTCTCTCTCTGGTCTCTCTCTGGTCTCTCTCTGGTCTCTCTCTGGTCTCTCTCTGGTCTCTCTCTGGTCTCTCTCTGGTCTCTCTTTGGTCTCTCTTTGGTCTCTCTTTGGTCTCTCTCTGGTATCTCTCTGGTATCTCTCTCTGGTCTCTCTCTCTGGTCTCTGTCTCTGATCTCTCTCTCTGGTCTCTCTCTGGTCTCTCTCTGGTCTCTCTTTGGTCTCTCTCTCTGGTCTCTCTTTGGTCTCTCTCTGGTCTCTCTTTGGTCTCTCTCTGGTCTCTCTTTGGTCTCTCTTTGGTCTCTCTCTGGTCTCTCTCTGGTCTCTCTCTGGTCTCTCCCTGGTCTCTCCCTGGTCTCTCCCTAGTCTCTCTCTGGTCTCTCTCTGGTCTCTCTCTGGTCTCTCTCTGGTCTCTCTCTCTGGTCTCTCTTTGGTCTCTCTCTGGTCTCTCTCTCTGGTCTCTCTCGCTCTGGTCTCTCTCTGGCCTCTCCCTGGCCTCTCTCTGGTCTCACTCTGGTCTCTCTGATCTCTCGGTGTCCTTCTGTTCCAGAGTCCTGGTCAGACCTGTGCTGCTCAGTCCTGTCTTATGCAGAGCTGGTGTCTCCGTGTCTTCGCTCTCGTCCTCTGCTCACGTCTCGCCTCCAGAACCTGCTGCAGCGAGTTCACTGCTGCGGCCAGGGAAGACGGACACCAGGAGCCAAGGTACCAGAGAGGGAGACCAGAGAGAGGGAGAGACCAGAGAGAGGGAGAGACCAGAAAGGGAGAGACCAGAGAGGGAGAGACCAGAGAGGGAGAGACCAGAGAGGGAGAGACCAGAGAGGGAGAGACCAGAGAGGGAGAGACCAGAGAGGGAGAGACCAGAGAGGGAGAGACCAGAGAGGGAGAGACCAGAGAGGGAGAGACCAGAGAGGGAGAGACCAGAGAGGGAGAGACCAGAGAGAGGGAGAGACCAGAGAGGGAGAGACCAGAGAGAGGGAGAGACCAGAGAGAGGGAGAGACCAGAGAGGGAGAGACCAGAGAGGGAGAGACCAGAGAGGGAGAGACCAGAGAGGGAGAGACCAGAGAGGGAGAGACCAGAGAGGGAGAGACCAGAGAGGGAGAGACCAGAGAGGGAGAGACCAGAGAGGGAGAGACCAGAGAGGGAGAGACCAGAGAGGGAGAGACCAGAGAGGGAGAGACCAGAGAGGGAGAGACCAGAGAGGGAGAGACCAGAGAGAGTAAGCAATACTTATGTAATTACAGACATAAAATGTCTCTGTCCTCAGAGCTGACGTAGATTGACCTGGGTCCACCTGGGTCCACCTGGGTCATTGTTTCAGGCCCATAGACTCAGTCTGTACAGGATCCTATTGAAAATCCAGATCCATAGGATTGACCAATGGGAGCCCTCTGTCCATAAGTGGTTGCGACAGACCGCTCCTGATTGGTTCCTAGTAACTCGTCGTTGCTACCCACCAAATTTACAGTAGTCATGGTCCATGGTCCTGGTTGATGGTGCTGGGTCTTGGTTGATGGTCCATGGTCCTGGTTGATGGTGCTTTGTCTTGGTTGATGGTCCATGGTCCTGGTTGATGGTGTTTCTGGTGCAGGTGTCTCGCAGCTGGTGGACGGAGCAGGAGACGCGTGAGAACGTTCCGTGGGACGATGTCCTCGTCCTCTGCATCGACCACAAACTCAAGGCCTGGAATCTGACCCAAGACTCAGTCTGCAGAGGTGTGTGTCTGTGTGTGTCTGTGTGTGTCTGTGTGTGTCTGTGTGTGTGTGTGTGTGTGTGTGTTTCTGTGTCTGTGTGACTGTGTGTGTGTGTGTGTGTGTGTTTCTGTGACTGTGTGTGTGTGTCTGTGTGTGTCTGTGTGTGTGTGTGTGTGTGTCTGTGTGTGTCTGTGTCTGTGTGTTTCTGTGTCTGTGTGTCTGTGTGTGTGTGTGTGTGTGTGTTTCTGTGTCTGTGTGACTGTGTGTGTGTGTGTGTTTCTGTGTCTGTGTGTCTGTGTGTGTGTGTGTGTGTGTGTGTGTGTGTGTCTGTGTGACTGTGTGTGTGTGTGTGTGTGACTGTGTGTGTGTGTGTGTTTCTGTGTCTGTGTGTGTGTCTGTGTGTTTCTGTGTCTGTGTGACTGTGTGTGTGTCTGTGTGTGTGTCTGTGTCTGTATGTTTCTGTGTGTGTCTGTGTGTCTGTGTGTGTGTGCGTGAGACTGTCTCACACTCTGTCTCACTCTCTGTCTCACTATCTGTCCTTGTCTCACTATTTGTCATTGTCTCACTCTGTCTCACTCTCTGTCCCTGTATCACGCCGTGTCCGTCTCACTCTCTGTATCCGTCTCACTCTCTGTCCCTGTCTCACCCCGTGTCCATCTCACTCTCTGTGTCCGCCTCACTCTCTGTATCTGTCTTACTCTCTTTCCCTGTCTCACACTCTGTCTCACTCGCTGTCCCTGTCTCACACTCTGTCTCACTCTTTCCCTGTCTCACTCTCTGTCCATGTCTCACACTCTGTCTCACTCTCTGTCCCTGTCTCACACTCTGTCTCACTCTCTGTCCCTGTCTCACACTCTGTCTCACTCTCTGTCCCTGTCTCACACTCTGTCTCACTCTCTGTCCCTGTCTCACACTCTGTCTTACTCTCTTTCCCTGTCTCACACTCTGTCTTACTCTCTTTCCCTGTCTCACTCTCTGTCCCTGTCTCACACTCTGTCTCACTCTCTGTCCCTGTCTCACACTCTGTCTCACTCTCTGTCCCTGTCTCACACTCTGTCTTACTCTTTCCCTGTCTCACACTCTGTCTTACTCTTTCCCTGTCTCACACTCTGTCTCACTCTCTGTCCCTGTCTCACACTCTGTCTCACTCTTTCCCTGTCTCACTCTCTGTCCATGTCTCACACTCTGTCTTACTCTCTTTCCCTGTCTCACACTCTGTCTTACTCTGTCCCTGTCTCACACTCTGTCTCACACTCTGTCTTACTCTCTTTCCCTGTCTCACACTCTGTCTTACTCTGTCCATGTCTCACACTCTGTCTCACTCTCTGTCCCTGTCTCACACTCTGTCTTACTCTCTTTCCCTGTCTCACACTCTGTCTTACTCTGTCCATGTCTCACACTCTGTCTCACTCTCTGTCCCTGTCTCACACTCTGTCTTACTCTCTTTCCCTGTCTCACACTCTGTCTTACTCTCTGTCCCTGTCTCACACTCTGTCTTACTCTGTCCATGTCTCACACTCTGTCTCACTCTCTGTCCCTGTCTCACACTCTGTCTTACTCTCTTTCCCTGTCTCACACTCTGTCTTACTCTCTGTCCCTGTCTCACACTCTGTCTTACTCTCTGTCCCTGTCTCACACTCTGTCTTACTCTCTGTCCCTGTCTCACACTCTGTCTTACTCTCTTTCCCTGTCTCACACTCTGTCTTACTCTCTTTCCCTGTCTCACACTCTGTCTTACTCTCTTTCCCTGTCTCACACTCTGTCTTACTCTCTTTCCCTGTCTCACACTCTGTCTCACTCTCTGTCCCTGTCTCACACTCTGTCTCACTCTCTGTCCCTGTCTCACACTCTCTCACTATCTGTCCCTGTCTCACACTCTGTCTTACTCTCTGTCCCTGTCTCACACTCTGTCTCACACTCTGTCTTACTCTCTGTCCCTGTCTCACACTCTGTCTTACTCTTTCCCTGTCTCACACTCTGTATTACTCTCTTTCCCTGTCTCACACTCTGTCTCACTCTCTGTCCCTGTCTCACACTCTGTCTCACTCTTTCCCTGTCTCACTCTCTGTCCATGTCTCACACTCTGTCTCACTCTCTGTCCCTGTCTCACACTCTGTCTCACTCTTTCCCTGTCTCACTCTCTGTCCATGTCTCACTCTCTGTCCCTGTCTCACACTCTGTCTCACTCTCTGTCCCTGTCTCACACTCTGTCTTACTCTCTTTCCCTGTCTCACACTCTGTCTTACTCTCTTTCCCTGTCTCACACTCTGTCTTACTCTCTTTCCCTGTCTCACACTCTGTCTTACTCTGTCCATGTCTCACACTCTGTCTCACTCTCTGTCCCTGTCTCACACTCTGTCTTACTCTCTTTCCCTGTCTCACACTCTGTCTTACTCTCTGTCCCTGTCTCACACTCTGTCTTACTCTCTGTCCCTGTCTCACACTCTGTCTTACTCTCTTTCCCTGTCTCACACTCTGTCTTACTCTCTTTCCCTGTCTCACACTCTGTCTTACTCTCTTTCCCTGTCTCACACTCTGTCTTACTCTCTTTCCCTGTCTCACACTCTGTCTCACTCTCTGTCCCTGTCTCACACTCTCTCACTATCTGTCCCTGTCTCACACTCTGTCTCACACTCTGTCTTACTCTCTGTCCCTGTCTCACACTCTGTCTCACACTCTGTCTTACTCTCTGTCCCTGTCTCACACTCTGTCTTACTCTCTGTCCCTGTCTCACACTCTGTCTTACTCTTTCCCTGTCTCACACTCTGTCTTACTCTCTTTCCCTGTCTCACACTCTGTCTTACTCTTTCCCTGTCTCACACTCTGTCTTACTCTCTTTCCCTGTCTCACACTCTGTCCCACTCTCTGTCCCTGTCTCACACTCTGTCTCACTCTCTGTCCCTGTCTCACACTCTCTCACTATCTGTCCCTGTCTCACACTCTGTCTTACTCTCTTTCCCTGTCTCACACTCTGTCTTACTCTCTGTCCCTGTCTCACACTCTGTCTTACTCTTTCCCTGTCTCACACTCTGTATTACTCTCTTTCCCTGTCTCACACTCTGTCTCACTCTCTGTCCCTGTCTCACACTCTGTCTCACTCTTTCCCTGTCTCACTCTCTGTCCATGTCTCACACTCTGTCTCACTCTCTGTCCCTGTCTCACACTCTGTCTCACTCTTTCCCTGTCTCACTCTCTGTCCATGTCTCACACTCTGTCTCACACTTTGTCTCACTCTTTCCCTGTCTCACTCTCTGTCCATGTCTCACACTCTGTCTCACTCTCTGTCCCTGTCTCACACTCTGTCTTACTCTCTTTCCCTGTCTCACACTCTGTCTTACTCTCTTTCCCTGTCTCACACTCTGTCTTACTCTCTGTCCCTGTCTCACACTCTGTCTCACTCTCTGTCCCTGTCTCACACTCTGTCTTACTCTCTTTCCCTGTCTCACACTCTGTCTTACTCTCTGTCCCTGTCTCACACTCTGTCTCACTCTCTGTCTCACACCCTGTCTCACTCTCTGTCTCACTTTCTCAGATGCAGTGACAGAGGACGGGGAGCTCCTGGTTTTCTGTCGTCCTGAGGCTCTCAGTTCCTTCTCTCCTCCAGACGAGTGGAACGAGGCAACGATGCAAACACACAGAGAGAAGCAGGAGCGACAACGACGGTACAACAACCACACACACACACACAAACAAGCACGCACGCACGCGCACACGCACGCACGCACACAGAAGCAGGAGCGACAACAGCGGTACAACACACAAGACCTTAGTCCTGTTCTTTATGACACAATATTCTATGTGTCTGCTGCACACTGACTCTCACCTCCTCTCTCCTCTCTCTCTCTCTCTCTCTCTCTCTCCTCTCCTCTCCTCTCCACCCTCTTGCCTCTCTCTCCACTCTCTCGCCTTTCTCTCTCCACCCTCTCTCTTCTCCTCCCTCCCCCAGGGTGAGTGCAGAGGCCGGGGCTCGTCCTCCGTCTCTGTCCCTGAAGAAGAAACTCTTCTGGAGCCTGAAGTCTCAGTCTGAGTCCTGCTCTGCTCCAGACCTCAGTCTCACTGCGTCTGCTCCAGAGACACTCGCTCACAGGGTCCTACTGCAGCTGGAGGAGGAGAGGCACCATAGCAACAGGTGAGACCAGAGGGAGACCAGAGAGAGACCAGAGAGAGACCAGAGAGTGACCAGAGAGTGACCAGAGAGTGACCAGAGAGAGACCAGAGAGAGACCAGAGAGAGACCAGAGAGAGACCAGAGAGAGACCAGAGAGAGACCAGAGAGAGACCAGAGAGAGACCAGAGAGAGACCAGAGAGAGACCAGAGGGAATCTCACATTTTGGTGTGTGTGTGTGCAGGGCCATGGAGCAGTTCCAGCGCTGGGCTGACGGTGGCGCTCTGGAGCCTCTGTGTTCTCCTCTGTTCGAGTCCTCGCTGAAGCCCCTCCCACAGGTATCTGCTCTCACATTCCTCGGCATCCATCCCGGCTTGCGACCTGCAGAGGCTTGTTCAATGGTCTTTGGACTCTCTCTCTGGTCTCTCTCTCTCTCTGGTCTCTCTCTGGTCTCTCTCTGGTCTCTCTCTCAGGTCTCTGGTCTCTCTCTTGTCTCTCTCAGGTCTCTGGTCTCTCTCTGGTCTCTCTTTGGTCTCTCTTTGGTCTCTCTCAGGTCTCACTGGTCTCGCTTCCTGGACTTACTCTTCTGGTCTTTTTGCTTCAGGTCCTGGGTTCTTCAGTGGGATCAGACCATGGGGCGGACCATGGAACAAACCATGGGGCGGTTCTCCTCAGATCACCTGGTCCGTCTCTGTCCTGGAGAATGAAGGATCTGGAGCGACAGATCAGAACGAGTCGTGAGGAGGAGCTGGTGCTGAGAGGGCTGCTCCACATGGTCCAGGACTGATCCCCTTTTTTTAGTCTTTTTAACCAAACTCAGTTGAATGATTTTTATGGTTTTTGTTATGAACGAGTGAATAAACAATAAACATGTGGTTTTGACAATTCACCTGGTCCTACGTAGGATGACCCATGGTCTTTTACTTAAGAGAGAGACCAGGGTGAGAGGGACCAGGGTGAGGAGGTTTGTGTCTGTGTGTCAGAGGGCACAGATGAGTTTTCATGTGTCCATGTACGAGAAACTTTTATTTATCATAAGCACACTCTTTATTTTCAACATCAAACATTACACAGCCGTTAGTCATGTGACCACAGTCTGAGGGTTCACCAGAGAAACCAGTTTGACTAAAGACAGTTCAGACAGAAGGGACGGGGGCCCTGCTGTAACTGTGGGCGGAGCCAAAATCAGTCTCTGGTCCTGGACCAGCCTGTGGATCATCACTGGACCGGGTCCTGGACCAGCCTGTAGAGGGCCTCACGGCGTGCGGTGTAGGGAGTGTGCTTGAGCTGCAGGACGTTGCTCGGGAACAGGTTTCCGTTGGCGGCGTACGTGTCCAGACCCTTGGGTCCCATCAGGTCTCGCAGAGTCCGGTTTCGGCTCAGGATCTTGTCGTAGAACTCAACGCCTCCTTGAGCGTACAGTGGCGACACGGCAGCGGCGCGACGGTCGCAGCTAAAATCGATGAAGTGAGTGACGGCGTCGGCGCCAAGCAGATAGGACACGCCCCCCAGCGCCAGCGCCACCGTGTTCGCCGCCGCTCGCCACAGGACGTGTGCGCCTTGCAGCCGGAACACCTGCTTCAGCAGCGTGGCGTACAGCCAGACTCCGCCCACACACACCGGGGCCACAGCCGCAGATAGCAGCGGCAGGGCTCCCTCCAGGCGCACCAACTCCCGCGCCACCGCAAACTTCTGAGCATGCTCAGACAGCACCAACGCCCGAGCAAGGGCAGAGCCTGAGGCGCTGCTCCAGTCCAGAGCGCGACCGTTCATGAAGAGGACACGGTCTGTGACTCCACTGCTCTGTGTGTCTGTGCTCTGTGTGTCTGTGCTCTGTGTGTCTGTGCTCTGTGTGTCTGTGCTGTTGAAGTTCAGGGGGAGTCCGACCCGGCCGCCCTGAGGCAGCAGAGGGAGCCCCGCCCCCACAGGAGCGAAGCCAAACGCAGTGAATCTGTGAGAGGAGGGAACCCCGAGGTCCTGCTGCACCTGGAGGAGAGAGAGAGCTAATGAGGAGCTAACATTAGAGCTACAGTCCTGGGTCTACAGCCTCAGTTTTAGACCAGTGTAAACTCACCTTCTGAAAAAGCGTCTCCAGTCTCTCTGACAGTTGGACCGGTTCTCCTTTAGACCAGGCCTGGTACAGGGGCCAGAAGGTCTGGTCCGGGACCAGGTGCTGGGACAGGTTCAGACCAAAGAGACCGGAGCAGGTGGAGAGGACCAGAGGGGTCCGGTACCTCTGCATGAGAGCGGAGACACGGAGCCAGGTCGCCATGACGACGGGGGAGACTGGGGAACCTATGGGACGAAAGGACAGAAACAATTATTACTTTACCCTTTCTCACTGTAGCCACAATAAAATGGTTAACTTTTGTGGTGACGAGGGAGCAGCTTCTGCAGTCAGCTCTCTGCCCCCCCACTCACACGGGAGGAGCTCGGAGAAGAGCCGCTACTCCTCCACGTGGAGAGGAGCAAGTGGAGGTGGCTCCTGGACGCCTCAGTGGGGATATGTTCTGGGCATGCGTGTGTTATGTATTAAACTAAAGTTACGGACCCCGGGAGTGGTGTGTCAGTCCCGGTCCGCGTCAGAAAAATATCCGATGACCGCTCAGAGGACGATAACATAATACATCCGCGGGACGGCCATACGGCTGCCGTAAAGTGCCTGCACTGCCGTAAACAGCAGCGACTTCACGACAGCCGTGTTTGTGACAGTCATGTGCCTCATGGAAGATGTCAACCCTAAACCGTGGAAAATAACGGAGTCCACTTTATTTACATAGCACAAATATCGATGAGTTTATTAGACGGTTTAGACCGGCTTAAGAACATGTCTAACTATGTTCAAATATGGTTAGAACACATTGTTATTTCATCTTCCGGGAATTCATTAATAATAAACGTTTTTAAAAAAACTCAGACTCGAATGAGGTTAAAACTCTATTTAATAACTATATAAAATATTACGAGGAAGCTAGTTCCCGATCCATGCGAGTAACGTGAAAATCGGTAACTTCCTGTCCAGAGCGGAAGTAGCTAACGGTACATTAGCTCGACACTGAAAAGTCATCTACTGAAGTCCCTTCCTCCTCTCTTTAAAATGGACTTTTCCTGAGACAAGGCCTCTTTAAGTATAAGTGGAATTGAAGACCCATGTTTTATTACTCAGGACAAATGTAATGACACCAAAGAAAGAGACAGAAATATAAGGAAGGAGGTGTGTGATTTGGGACGCAGCCGAAGGTGGTGTATGTAGTGATTTGGGACGCAGCCACAGTTCCACTTTCTCTCCGGTTTGTTGTTATTTTTAGCATTCGGCTAAAGCTAATGCCGCTAGCTTAAATGCTCGCAGAAATGTCCTGTAACCGAACTTCACTTAAGGCTTTAGTGGTGGAGCGTCTGACTGCGGCTGCGGATCAGATCTTTGCGCTGTTTGAGACCACGATAGCGGAATATGAAGAGGAAGTGCGCAAATGTAGAGAGATACAGTGCGCTAATGCTAATGCTAATGCTAACGGGATACAGCACGTGGAGCAGAGCGAGGCTACACCACAGCCTCTGGACCTGGACATGGGTCTAGACCTGGACCACAGTCTGGGAGACACGAAACCGTGGTCCAAGTGGACACAGACAGAGGACCAAGGTCCGTTCCTGAGCCTGAACCAGGACCAAGGTCCGTTCCTGAGCCTGAACCAGGACCTGTCTGGGTTTGTGCAGATCAAACAGGAGCCAAAGGAACCAGCGGAGATCAAACAGGAGCAGGATCCTCTCATACAGTAAGAAATGACAAGACCCAGGACTGAGACCGTAGACCTGGGACCGAGGACCCAGGTCTGAGGCTGTATTCAGTCCCATCATCAGTTATTTTACCAAAACCATGCAGTTCTAATTCTGTGTTTGTTCCAGGGCTGTTCCAGAGTTTTCCTTTGTCTGTGGTAAAACTGTAGACCCTCAAACGCAGAGCCCAGACCTCGATGTGGAGGACTCTGTGGACCCCGACGTGGAGGACTGGACGGCTCCGTTCAGCTGCTCAGAGACAGAAGATGGCGATGAACAAAACACAGGTCTTCCCTCGAGCGTCTTCCCCCAGACTCCAAACTACACAAAGCGTCGCAGATTCCAGTGCCACATTTGCCAACGGTTTCTCTCCACGAAACACTCATTAGAAACTCACCTTCGTGCCCACGCAGGAGAGAGACCTTACGGCTGCTCAGTTTGTAGTAAGAGCTTTACAAACAGGACCGACCTCCGTAAGCACAAGACCACGCACCGCAGTAGATTCAGCTGTTCCAAGTGTGACCGTGTTTGTGCCACACGACAGGAGCTGAAGGAGCACGCCAGGTCCCACCCCAGGAGGCGCCTCAAACCTTTCGGGTGTTCCTATTGTGAGAAGAGCTTTGTTTACCAGCACACGCTGGAGACGCACATGAAGAGAAACCATAAACGCTTTCTTCAGGGCGAGAAGCAGTTCCCGTGCCAGTCGTGCAATAAGTCTTTTGTCCACAAGGAGTCGCGAGAACTCCACGTGAAGAGCGTGCACATGGGAGAGGCGCTGTTCACGTGTCAGCTCTGTGGAATGAGCTTCACCTCTCGCGTCCTGCTTAACAAACACTCTGCCACACACACAGGGGGCAAACCTTTCAGCTGTTTGTTCTGCGACAAAAGCTTCTTCAAGAAATCTGACCTGATCGTGCACAAGAAGAAGCACTCAGGAGAGAGACCCTTCAGCTGCTCAGTGTGTGGCAAGAAGTTTCTGTACCGGAAGGTTTTTAATGGGCACCTGGAGAAACACCGAGAGCAGCAGAGGGAGGTGAGGGAGGTGCTGGGGGAGGTGCTGGGGGAGGTGCTGGGGGAGGTGAAGGTGCAGAGAGAGAACTGAGGCCGGACCATAGACTGTAAACGGGCCCGTGCTGGGGGAGGTGTGTTGTAGAAATCTAACTGGGATTATAAATGAATTTAATGATCAATCATGCTCTCTGGGACAAAGGTTAATCTAACAATCTATTGTTTTAGTAGAAGCTTGAGGCCAGGGCCGGGAGAGGGAGAGGTGTTAGCAGGTATCTGGTCCAAGGAGCACGGTGCCCTGGTCATACTGAGTTCTCTTCTAATATCAGAGTAATATCAGAGACGTCAGGAGGGTTTGAGCGACTGTCACTTCATCTCGGACTCTTCTGTTTGTTCCATCCTATAAATATGAGAGAGAGCATTAGTCAGATCTACTGAGACCTGCTCACGCGGTTGACGGTTGTATTTCTTGTATATGTCACATTTACTAAGATAATAAACCACACTTTGTTTTACAGCTCTTTGTTGTTTATATTTCATTGTTAGTATTAGATAGCAATATGGCCGACGTGCAGGACTCTGATTATTATGACTCTGATGTGACTGTCTCTGTGTGACACGTCTTTCCATGTGTGACGTGACAATGACTATATAAACTGTGTACTGACTTTATTCTGTCTGAGAGAAAGAAACAAAGGAAACCACTGGAACTTGAGAGAAACTTAAATAAACTTCCAGAGTTTGGCGCACCACGGTCCGTCTCTGTCTGCTGAATCCCTGACAGATTTGGTGGAGAATGTGCGGCTCAGTGTGCGCCATTCTCTGGATTGTTTTGAGGGAGTTTGCTCTGTTTCTTTTCCTCGGCGTGAGAGATCGGCTGTGTCTGGGAGCGGAGATTCCAGCAGGCTGGAAGAGCTGTTCCTGGATGCTTCTTATCGCTTCTGTCACTTGCGTTTAATTAGAATTTTCCGACGCGGAAAAGAGGTTGGCAGACCTCTCGGACAGCCCGTGCATGCACCTGTTTGACAAGAATAAGGTCAGACACCTTTTTATATGTTAAGTCTGTATAAGGATACTGGTTACATTTTGGTCTGTTTTTGAGGTCTGTCGAACTCTCTAAATTGTGTTGAGAAAAAGTGAAGTATTTTTAGTGAAACTGGTGTAAAAATAAAAGCAATAAAAAGGTAAATGTGTAAAAGGCGTTTGTTACAGAAGTTTGTAAAGAACCAGTTCCAGGATAAATGACTGAAGTAAAGAAGCAACAATGTTTCAGAGATCACAGTTTAAATTACAACAACAAAAAATGTAGTTTGTTTTTTAGTTTTTGTTGGAACAGAGTTCACGGAGAACGCAGAGTCTTATCTACAGTTGATATTTAGCTTTCGTGAGTTATTTACATGTTTTGTCGCGGCTCGGGCTGTATCCAACAGTTGTTTGTTTTTAGAAAGAGATTGAGTTTAAAATAGTTCCCTGCCTTGAAGAGTAAGACTGTCTTTTGTCACAAGTGTGAAAGTGATCATTTCTAGACTTGGAAGACAAAAGTTTAAACTACAACATCAGTTATATTCACTTAAAAAAGTCATCTTGAAAGTTAGAACAACTTTCCGCCTGTGTTTGCACTGCTCTATTGTGTTGCCGTTGAAAAGAAGTTTCACATTAGTAATGTCAGGGATTTAGCAGACAGAGACGGATCGTGGTGTGCCAAACTCTGGAAGTTTATTTAAGTTTCTCTCAAGTTCCAGTGGTTTCCTTTGTTTCTTTCTCTCAGACAGAATAAAGGCAGTACACAGTTTATATAGTCATTGTCACGTCACACATGGAAAGACGTGTCACACAGAGACAGTCACATCAGAGTCAAAATAATCAGAGTCCTGCACGTAGGCCATATTGCTATCTAATACTAACAGTAAGATAATACAATACAACAATACAATACAATGTATTGTTGTATAGCCCTAGGTCACAACAGAAGTCATCTCAGAGACTTAACAAAACCATTGAAATCACCAACACAGGTCAGAGAATCAACAGTTAAAACACATGAAGAATATAAAGCACACACAGAAGAAAATGTCCATACATGTTGTAGAATGCTAAAGTGTCCTGATCATCACCAATCCTTTCTGTTGGACACTAACTGTCCAACAAGACCCTCCTGCATCCACAAGGAACAACTCTTAAAAAACCCAGTGGGAAAAAGTGAGAAACCTTGGGGAGCACTAGGGAAACCCACAGGGAGGGAGACCCATATGAGAAAGGGATCCGCTCCTCCGGACGGACAGGCTAATGATCCAGGACCTAAGCTAGCTACAGAACGTGGACCAGTGGACGCTGAACGTGGACAGGTCCGGTGCAGGACTGAAGCACTCCCAGGCGGGTCGGGCGGGGCAGTCCGCAGGTGTAGATGGAAGAGGCCAGGCTCAGAGATCCCGTCATCGTACCATGAAACAGACAATGGGACAACGGGTGAATAGCAATGAACAAACTACAGTCAAAATCCTAAAAATGCTAAACAGATAAAGTAGGAAGGAGGAGAGGATAGTGCTCAAGTTACCATACTTCTCCAGCAGGGGGCGCCCTATGCAGCTTGACTGACAGTCTGAGGAGTTTAGCCTTCCCAGAGTCTTACCTTCCTAGCCATATACTAAACTAAAGAGGACTGTTTTAAACCTAGCCTTGAATAAAGAGAGCGTATCTGAAAGGAGGCGAGACAGCAGCAGCCACGGCTAGGCTAGCCCAGGCTACAGCACCAAGACTCATGGATTGCACACCAGGTGTGCCAAACCGATCCAAGCAAACCTAATTATATATTATATATACTATACATCATATATACCATACATACCATATATATCATATATAACATAATATACAACATAACACAATACATAACATAATACATATATTGTATAATATATAACATAATATATAACATAATACAGCATATATATATAATATATACACCATATATTATATATGACCTAGTTATATGCTAAATTAAAGTAGAGTGCTTTAAGCCTGGCCTTGAATGTGGAGACCGTATCTGCTTCCTTAACATAAATGAAGCTGATTCCACAGTAAAGGAGCTTGGAGCTAAATGCTCTGCCGCCAACAGTGACCTTTGAGACCTTAGGGACCACCAGACGTCTGGCGTTTTGTGAGCGCAACGCTCGACTTGGTTGATACGACACTAACGTGTCTTGGAGATAAGAAGGAGCCAAGCCATTTATGGCTTTATATGTTAAGAGAAGGATTTTAAACTTTATTCTGTACTCCACAGGAGCCAGTGGAGTGATTTTAACACCGGAGTTATGTGCTCCCTCCTTTTGGTGCCTGTTAAGATCCTAGCTGCTGTATTCTGAACGAGCTGGAAGCTCTTCAAAGAGGCTTTAGGGCACGCTGCCAGTAAAGCGTTACAGTAGTCGAGCCTTGAGGTGACAAACGCGTGAATGAGTTTTTACGCGTCACTTTTAGGAAGAATATTCCTGATTTTAGCGATGTTCCGTAAGTGGAAGTACGCCGTTTTAGTTGCTTGGCTTATATAAGCCTTGAAGGAGAGTTCTTGGTCAAAAATGACTCCAAGATTCCTCACAGTGTTACTGGGTATAATACTGACATTATCAGAGTAATTATCTGGTTAGTGAGGGAGTCACGCAGGCGCTTCGGACCGAGTAGGATCACTTCTGTCTTCTCCGGGTTGAGAAGTAGGAAGTTAAGAGTCATCCACATTTTAAGGTCCTTTATGCAGCACTGAGCTTTTCCAGCTGATCTGTCTGATTTGGCTTCATCGACAGATAAAGCTGTGTGTCATCTGCAGCAGTGGAAATTAATTCCATGCTTTTTAATAATGTTTCCTAACGGCAGCATGTAGAGAGTAAAAAGAATCGGTCCGAGTATCGAACCCTGCGGCACACCGAATTCTACTCCAGAATAAGGCGACGAGTTCTGATTTACGTTGACGAAGTGATACCGATCTGATAAATAGGATTTAAACCAGCCAAGGGCTGTTCCTCTAAGACCTATATCACATTCTAGCCTCTGCAGTAGAATGCTGTGGTCTATTGTGTCAAATGCAGCACTAAGGTCCAGTAGGACCAGCACTAACACTTGTCCATTATCAGCAGCTAGTAGTAAGTCATTTGTGACTTTGACTAGTGCCGTTTCAGTCTATGATGAGCTCTGAATCCTGATTGAAAGACTTCAAACATATTATTTTCCTGCAGGTGGCAGCGAAGCTGCTCAGCTATAAGTTTTTCCAGGATTTTAGATATAAAAGTGAGGTTTGAGATCGGTCTGTAGTTTGTAAGTATTTCTGGGCCCAGGTTTGTTTTCTTCAGAAGGGGTTTGATTACCGCGGTTTTAAAAGCTTGTGGGACATAGCCACATTGTATGGATGCGTTTATTATATTTACGATAGGCTCAATTATCAAAGGAAGTATGTCTTTGAAGAGCCATGTCGGGACTGCGTCTAACATGCAAGTTGAGGCTTTTGAGGATGTGACCACAGAGATCACCTCTGCTTGGCTCACAGCCATGAATTTATCGAGGCTCACTGAAGAGTCTAAGTGGGAAGTCACGTATGCCGCTTCAACCTGTCCACCACTAACAGCAGGAGTAACCTCCTCCAGTTTGTCACGGATGGATGTCATTTTATTATTAAAGAAGTGGAGAAAGTCGACACTGCTCAGTGAGCTTGGAATAAAGATAAGTAATCTATATTTATATAGCGCATGTGGGAAAGCCAAGAGCGCTCCAAAATAGTTTAGACTTTAGAGAGAAAAACAATCTCATTCACAAACTGATATCTGTTGTTTTGAATTTGACCAGAAATGTTCATTTGAATTCTATTTTGTCATGGACTTAATTGACCTCTGTCTTGACATTTCTTGTTTTGATTTGTTGATTTTGTACTGTGTGAAGTAATTACATTGATTAGGATTAGATCTGATGAGACACTTCTTTGAACGACAATAATAATGTCTTTACAGTAGAATCAAAGTGACTTGACCATAGAGAGTAACTACTGCATAACGAGTCTGTACCGGTGAATCAAGCAACCATGAGACACTGCACCACAGGACCAGAGCAGCCCAAGTGACCTGATGTGCATCTGGAGAGACCAGAACCATGGCTTGGACCCGACTCATGTCCAAGATGACATCTCTCTATGACCTGACCTGATGGACCAGACTGAGACTCACCCTCAGGGGACCCTGAGGACCTGAGGACCCTGAGGACCTGAGGACCTGAGGACCTGAGGACCTGAGGACCTGAGGATCTGAGGACCTGAGGACCTGAGGACCTGAGGACCTGAGGACCCTGAGGACCTGAGGACCCTGAGGACCTGAGGACCTGAGGACCTGAGGACCTGAGGACCTGAGGACCTGAGGACGTTGTTGGAGAACGGCTTGCTGCTAGTCTGGGGTCGGAAACGCAGACAGAGAAGAGTTTCGAAACAGGAACAGAGTGGACATTTCTGGTCATAACCAAACATGAGGAGGGGTCGAGAGGAAGTGTCAAATGGACTGTGAAAATTGACTTTGGGTTTTCGGGCTTTTGGGCGTGTGCGTGGTGTTGAATTTGATAACCAATGAAGAAGATGACATAGTCTGGGATCGCGTCTTACATTCAGACAGAAGACATGTTTTATTGTCGATGGTAGAGACAGCACGAACACAGATACAACAGAATGCAAGTGTATTATACAGAGCGGAGGCATGGAGACCTCCAATCAGCAGCTGCCACAGTGCCATGTATGGAGCTATTATTGTTTCAATAATATTTGTGTGTGCGTAAACAGATTTGTGTGTGCGTAAACAGATTTGTGTGTGCGTAAACAGATTTGTGTGTGCGTAAAAAGATTTGTGCGTGCGTAACCAGATTTGTGTGTGTGTAAAATAAATATTTGTGCGTGTGTAAATAGATTTGTATGTACGTATCAAGATTTGTGTGTGCGTAGAAAGATTTGTGTGTGTGTAAAGAAAAGAAAAAAGTACGTTTTACACACAAGTTTTTTTTTTACACACGAATCTTTTGACGCAGTCCTGCCTTCGCAGATTCGCAAGTGTAACTTGGACTGTGTGCGTGCGTAAACAGATTTGTGTGTGTGTAATTTGACATTTGTATCTGTAGCAGAACAATCTGTGTGTAAATAACCGCGTTGTACGAAGAGAAGAACGAAAAAAGCCTAAGTGCTACGCACAGGCTCTGTTTTACACACATCTCTTTTTGACACACCTCTGCCGCTTAGCGTGTGTCAAAAAGATTTGTAAGTGTAATGTGGTTGTTCTAGCAGTACACCAGCAGATGGTGCTGTTGTAGCTGGTTATTACCTACAGGCAAGCAAACCAGCTGAGTTTGTGGCACTAAAGTGTAGATAGAGAAAACCGAAGGATTTAAGAAGAAGAAAAGTTCAGGATGACAAGGAACACTAAAATTCCCACAAAATCCGACCTTTATGAAAGCTGTAGGTTATTTGTCAGCTGTTTTAGTTTACTTTGAGTTCTATGGGGAACATGTCTGTGTAGCCCACGTGATTTTAGTCTGCAGTACGCGAGAATCCTTCAGCTCCAAGCTAGTAACACCTATCCAGTTATTATAATAGATCCATGTATAATACAGTGGTGGGAATGACAGGATTTTTAAAATAGGAAAAACATATCAAACAGCTGCGGTAGTGTGTCTTGTCAAGGCAGTAGGTTTTGGTTTGCTTGCGTGTAGGTAATAACCAGCTACAACAGCACCATCTGCTGGTGTACTGCTAGAACAACCACATTACACTTACAAATCTTTTTGACACACGCTTGGCGGCAGAGGTGTGTCAAAAAGAGATTCGTGTGTAAAACAGAGCCTGTGCGTAGCTCTTAGGCTTTTTCCCGTTCTTCTCTTCGTACAACGCGGTTATTTACACACAGATTGTTCTGCTACAGATACAAATGTCAAATCACACACACACAAATCTGTTTACGCACGCACACAGTCCAAGTTACACTTGCGAATCTGCGAAGGCAGGACTGCGTCAAAAGATTCGTGTGTATAAAAAAAACTTGAGTGTAAAACGTACTTTTTTTTTCTTTACAGACACACAAATCTTTTTACTCACACACAAATCTTGATACGTACATACAAATCTATTTACACACGCACAAATATTTATTTTACACACACACAAATCTGGTTACGCACGCACAAATCTTTTTACGCACACACAAATATTATTGAAACAATAATAGCTCCATACCATGTAGCTTGGCCTTCAGATAGACAAAACAAGGGAAAAGTACTGGCTTCTGCACATTGATAGAAAGATGAGTTTAACTTGAACTAAAGTTGCTTAAAAGTGTTATGAAATCTCACATTAGCTTCTAATTTGAGACTCAGCTCGTTTGTGTCTGTGTTTGGACTGAATCTGCGGAGTTACTGTGTCCAATAGGGTTTGTTTGTTTTTGTTTTTCCCCAGGATAGAGGATAAAATCCACTAATATTGTTTTTGATGATTATGAGTTTAATGCATACATTTTTTTGTTTTCAACTTTATTGATTGATCAAATTGAGTGATCACATGTGATTATGTGATCAAAGGGGTGAGTGTTCAGGACTACGTGCAGGACTGTACAAGGACTCTGATTATTTTGACTCTGATGTGACTGTCTCTGTGTGACACGTCTTTCCATGTGTGACGTGACAATGACTATATAAACTGTGTACTGCCTTTATTCTGTCTGAGAGAAAGAAACAAAGTAAACCACTGGAACTTGAGAGAAACTTAAATAAACTTCCAGAGTTTGGCACACCACGATCCGTCTCTGTCTGCTTCATTCCTGACAGATTTATTGTGTATTTCAATCCCTAGAAATTCCACCACAGGTGCAGAGGGAGAACTCCAGACGATAGACTTTAAACAGGCCTGTGCTGAGGGAGGTGCTGAGGGAGGTGCTGAGGGAGGTACATAGGGAGGTACACCAACATCAAATCCGGTTGAAATGGTTAGCCGTGCTTCTAAGTCCACTGATTAGATATGGTTAGCCAATAGTTGCATCTGTTTTGGAAGAACATGGTTAAACGAACATATTGTCCTGATGTATCCTCCAGGGATGACATTTAAAAGTTCATTTTCAAAATGAAAAAAAATAATAAAAATAGTGGGGCGACAGTAGCTCAGTGTGTAAAGCCTTGGCCTTTGAGCTGAAGGTTGTGGGTTTGAGCCCACCATGAGACCTTCCCACTGATGTCTGCTGTTGTTGTGTCCTTGGGCAAGACACTTTTCCTGAAGCCCTTACTGAAAGATCAAGGCTGTTCCTGTGGACTCAGCACCTGCAGAGGATCAGTGAGGATCAGTGAGGGGCTGGTGCTCTGTGTGCCACCCCCCGACCCAGAAATGGATTAAGGGGAAGAAAATAGATGGATGGATTTTCAAAAATAAACTTGAACAAACTCAGACTCGGAATGTTTGTTGTAATGGCAGCATTACGTTAATGCAAAGAACGTGTAAATTGGTAACTGAAAAGTCATCTACTGAAGTCCCTTCCTCCTCTCTTTAAAATGGACTTTTCCTGAGACAAGGCCTCTTTAAGTATAAGTGGAATTGAAGACCCATGTTTTATTACTCAGGACAAATGTAATGACACCAAAGAAAGAGACAGAAATATAAGGAAGGAGGTGTGTGATTTGGGACGCAGCCGAAGGTGGTGTATGTAGTGATTTGGGACGCAGCCACAGTTCCACTTTCTCTCCGGTTTGTTGTTATTTTTAGCATTCGGCTAAAGCTAATGCCGCTAGCTTAAATGCTCGCAGAAATGTCCTGTAACCGAACTTCACTTAAGGCTTTAGTGGTGGAGCGTCTGACTGCGGCTGCGGATCAGATCTTTGCGCTGTTTGAGACCACGATAGCGGAATATGAAGAGGAAGTGCGCAAATGTAGAGAGATACAGTGCGCTAATGCTAATGCTAATGCTAACGGGATACAGCACGTGGAGCAGAGCGAGGCTACACCACAGCCTCTGGACCTGGACATGGGTCTAGACCTGGACCACAGTCTGGGAGACACGAAACCGTGGTCCAAGTGGACACAGACAGAGGACCAAGGTCCGTTCCTGAGCCTGAACCAGGACCAAGGTCCGTTCCTGAGCCTGAACCAGGACCAAGGTCCGTTGCTGAGCCTGAACCAGGACCTGTCTGGGTTTGTGCAGATCAAACATGTTGTGTCTTTTATACAACATAGTATGAAATGAACATGGAAGAAGACTCGGAGATGGGTTTCAGCTTGAACGTTAGTTTACTGAAGAAATGCCGGTAACTGACGCTACAAGGTTACCATGACAACCTGAGGTAACAGTGCGCATACACATGACATGGGACCAATACAATGTATCAGTCCGCCAGAAGAAATAGTACCACCCATACACTACACTCCTCCCCTTTTAGATTCATGTTTAACCTCGCTTAACAAATTAAGCTCATTAACATCATCAATACCATGTAACATAGTATTACTCTGTAACTGTGACATTTTTTTTTTTTTTTTTTTTTATATATATATATATATCAATAATAGCACAAGACAATAACTCATAAGTCCAGCCTTCTTGGTGGTGCTCTGATTCTATCAGGGTAGCGCCTCGGGCCTTGTGGAGTAGTCTCTTTAGGGAGTACTTCTGCAGTATTAGATGTTGTACTGATGGCAGCCTCTTGATTTGAGTTGGATGACAGACCTGTTGGGCGTGCTGGCTCATCAGAAGATGATTTCTCAGTGGTCTTGGGTTGAGCATTTACCAGTTGATCCACATGACGCCTCCAAGTGTGCTCACCAACGTCCACTTTGTATGTCAGCGGTCCACTCCTAGTCAAGATTTTTCCAGGAGTCCACTTGTCCTTTCGATAATCCCGTGCCAAGACTGGTTGTCCCACATCAAAACTTCTTGCTGTGTCAGTTGACAGAGTGCTGAACTGTTTATTCTGTACTTCCCTTCGCAGATTTGGCTTCAGGAGGTCAATGCAAGACCTCAGACGTCTATTCATGAACAGCATAGCTGGTGTTTGATTTGTTGTTGCATGAACAGAATTTCTGTAGACAAGGAGGAAGTTGTCCACTTTATGTTGTAGGGAGATGTCCTCATTTGCCATAGCTTTAAGTGACTTTTTGAATGTCTGTACAAATCGCTCCGCCAGCCCATTTGTGGCGGGGTGGTGTGGTGCGGATCTGAAGTGCTTTATGCCATTTTTCTTCATGAAAAGGTTGAACTCTTCTGAAGTATACTGTGGGCCATTGTCACTTACGATTTGTTCAGGCAGACCATTTCGGGAGAAAATGTTTCTCAAAACAGAAATAGTCTTTTCAGATGTTGTAGACTTCATTGGTACGACCTCTGGCCATTTTGAGTGAGCATCCACAGCGATAAGAAACATCGAGTTCAAGAATGGTCCTGCAAAATCAATATGCACTCTTAGCCAAGGTGAAGATGGCCATTCCCAGGGATGTACTGGGGCCTGCGGAGGTGCATTTTGAGTGCTCTGACATCCTGTGCAGGTTTTGGTGATGTCTTTGATTTGTTTGTCAAGTCCTGGCCACCATACATAACTGCGAGCCAAGTTTTTCATTTTAACTGTGCCCAGGTGGCCCTCGTGAAGACTGTCCAAAACTTTTGTACGAAGTTTTTGCGGCACTACCACTCGTGATCCACACATCAGGGTTCCCTGGCAGACAGAGAGCTGGTCACGTCTCGCCGAAAACTCAGGAAAACTGGGAATCCCATGAGCAGGCCACCCTTGCATTGTGATGTCGTATATTTTTGATAGTGTCGGATCATTTCGTGTTTCTTTTTGTATCATAGTGTTTGTTACTGGTAACTGGTCCACAAGTGTTGTGTGGAACATTTCTGCTGGATCGCGCCCTGAAGACTTTTCTTCGGTTGTCGACAGAGGGAGGCGTGACAAACCATCTGCATTACAGTGCTGTTTAGTCCCTTTGAACTCAATGTCATACGAGTGAGCTCCTAAAAACAGCGCCCATCTTTGTAGTCTTGTTGCTGACATTACAGGAACTCCTTTTCTTGGATTAAAGATTGAGACAAGGGGCTGGTGGTCCGTTACTAACGTAAATCTTCGGCCATAAAGATAGTGGTGAAATTTCTTTATGCCCCATACCAGGCTGAGGGCCTCCCTGTCGATTTGGGCGTAATTGCGCTCTGCACTTGACAGAGATCTTGAAGCGAAAGCAATCGGCCGCTCTGATCCGTTGTCCATTGTGTGCGACAATACAGCTCCAATTCCATATGGAGAGGCATCACACGCTAGTCGGATGGGCCGTGATGGGTCATAGTGTGTTAGTAGATCATCAGATGTCATCAGTCTTTTTGTTTCAGCAAACGCCTTCTCACATTTTTCTGACCAATGCCACTTAACGCCTGTCTGTAACAGTGCATTCAATGGGTATAGAACTGAAGAAAGGTTTGGAAGAAACTTGTGATAATAATTTACCAGACCCAGATATGATCTTAGCTGTGAAACATTCTCTGGTTTAGGTGCTTTAAGCACAGCCTCGATTTTGTCCTGTGATTTTTGTAATCCATGCTTATCAATGACATGTCCACAATATGAGATTTGGTCTTTGAAAAACTCACATTTTTCTCTCTTTGCCCGTAGGCCATACTCCTTAAGCCTATTGAGTACCTTGCTCAGATTTAGAAAGTGTTCATCATCATCCTTTCCTGTCACAATGATGTCATCAAGGTAGCACTGTGTTTTTGGTATATCCTGCAGTACCTGATCCATCGCTCTTTGCCAAATAGCTGGTGCGGAAGCAACACCAAACACAAGACGATTGTACTGGTACAATCCCTTATGTGTGTTAATGGTCAGAAACGTCCTACTTGACTCCTCCACTTCCATTTGGAGATAGGCCTGTGACAAGTCAATCTTTGAAAACTTCTCCCCTCCAGCTAAAGATGAGAAGATGTCCTCAATCCGTGGCAGGGGATACTGCACAGTGTGGAGCACAGGGTTAATGCTGACTTTGAAATCTCCACATATGCGTACGTTTCCACTTTTCCCTTTCTTTATCACAGGCACAATGGGTGTAGCCCATTTACTCCAGTCCACTTTTGAGAGGATGCCAGATTCCTCTAAGTTCTGCAGTTCGGCATCTATCTTTGGTCGTAGGGCATATGGTACTGGACGTGCTTTGTGAAATCTTGGTGTGGCCTCTTTGTCCAGTTCAATGTTTGCCTTTATGTGTTTAAGTTTACCAATGCCTTTCTCAAACACTTGTGCATTCTCCCTTAGAAGCTGGGAGAGTCTATGGTTGGAGCTGCATGTGGCGCTCTTTGAACCTGTTGATATGTTGAGAGCTTTAATTGAATGCCAATCAAGCTGAATTTTCCTCAACCACTCGCGTCCAAGAAGAGCTGGCCCTGCTGTTTTAAGCACATAGAGCTCCAACTGATGCGTTTTGTCACCATAGGTCACGTCCACTTTAAGTTTGCCTTTTGGTGACACTTTTTCACCAGTGTATGTTTTTAACATTACTGAAGTTTTTTCTAAAGGTAGCTCAGAAAACAGTCTTTTGTAGTCGGTTTCGGAGATTACAGACAAAGCTGAGCCTGTATCTAGCTCCATTTTAAGTTTCACACCAGATACTGTTGTGGTTATCCATATGATTCTCCTGTCCATTTCAGTTATACTATGTAATTCTAGGCATGACAGGTCATCTTCTTCACTATTTGTGCTGCTTTCACACTCTGTTACCTTGTGCATTTGTTTTGCCTTGGATTTGAAACGTTTGTTCTTTTCAGGTTTCTCTCTTTGAAAGTCCTTTTGTCCTGCTTTGCATACTCTTTCTATGTGGCCCTGTTTGTGACATTTTCTGCAGGTCTTCTCTTTAAACCAGCAGTCATTTGCACTATGAGAGGTTTTGCCACATCTGTAGCATTTCTGATTTTTCTTATTGTTTAGGGACATTTTATGCATGTCATTCTCAGTGTTTTTCTGTAGCTCTGTAGCTCCTTTAGCTGCAGTTTCCATTGAGATGGCTATAGATAAAGCCTTGTCTAGCTCCAAGTCTTTTTCTGACAGTAGTCTTTTCTGTGTGCTTGAACATTGCATGCCACATACTAATCTGTCCCTTAGAGCATCAGAAAACCATCTTTGAAATCGCAATACTGTGAAAGTTTGCGCAGTTCAGCCATGTACTCAGATATGCTTTCATCCTTTAATTGATTCCTTTTATGAAATCTAAATCGTTCCGCTATTACGAGAGGTTTTGGGTTCAAGTGACTTTTCAAAATTGCGACTATCTCGTCAAACGTCTTGCGGGATGGTTTATCGGGGCTCACTGGGTTACGTAGCAGATTATAAGTTTTCGCACCCATCAAACTGAGAAGGACGGGAGCCTTTTTCTCCGTCTCCACGTTATTTGCAGTGCAGTATAACTCCACTCTTTCAATGTAAGCCTCCCAGTCTTCACTTGTACTGTCAAACTCATCCACTTTACCAACGAATGCCATTTTTAGTCTTTAAATCTTGTCGCAGACAGATCCACTTGTTTAGCTTTTGGGAAGATTCACTTGCTGTGTGCTTTTACACGTCCCGTACTCACGCGTGTTATGCCAGCTGTCAGTCACTTTCCTCCCTAACTCTCGTTCTTCCCTCTCCGGTTAACTTGTCACCTCCGGTTGTTGTTTCGGGTCCGTATTTCTCGTCGCCAATTTTTTGTGTCTTTTATACAACATAGTATGAAATGAACATGGAAGAAGACTCGGAGATGGGTTTCAGCTTGAACGTTAGTTTACTGAAGAAATGCCGGTAACTGACGCTACAAGGTTACCATGACAACCTGAGGTAACAGTGCGCATACACATGACATGGGACCAATACAATGTATCAGTCCGCCAGAAGAAATAGTACCACCCATACACTACAAAACAGGAGCCAAAGGAACCAGCGGAGATCAAACAGGAGCAGGATCCTCTCATACAGTAAGAAATGACAAGACCCAGGACTGAGACCGTAGACTCGGGACCGAGGACCCAGGACTGAGGCTGTAGACCCAGGACTGAGGCTGTAGACCCGGGACCGAGGACCCAGGACTGAGGCTGTAGACCCAGGACTGAGGCTGTAGACCCGGGACCGAGGACCCAGGACTGAGGCTGTAGACCCAGGACTGAGGCTGTAGACCCGGGACCGAGGACCCAGGACTGAGGCTGTAGACCCAGGACTGAGGCTGTAGACCCGGGACTGAGGCTGTAGACTCGGGACTGAGGCTGTAGACTCGGGACCGAGGCTGTAGACTCGGGACCGAGGCCTTATTCAGGTTTCCTGTCTCAGTTATTTTACCAAAACCATGCAGTTCTAATTCTGTGTTTATTCCAGGGCTGTTCCAGAGTTTTCCTTTGTCTGTGGTAAAACTGAAGACCCTGAAATGCAGAGCCCAGACATCGACGTGGAGGACTCTGTGGACCCCGACGTGGAGGACTCTGTGGACCCTGACGTGGAGGACTCTGTGGACCCCGACGTGGAGGACTCTGTGGACCCCGACGTGGAGGACTCTGTGGACCCTGACGTGGAGGACTCTGTGGACCCCGACGTGGAGGACTCTGTGGACCCCGACGTGGAGGACTCTGTGGACCCCGACGTGGAGGACTCTGTGGACCCCGACGTGGAGGACTCTGTGGACCCCGACGTGGAGGACTCTGTGGACCCCGACGTGGAGGACTGGGCGGCTCCTTTCCGCTGCTCAGAGACAGAAGATGGCAAAACACAACACACCACTGGTCCCTCGAGCGTCTTAACACAAACCCAGACTGAAAAGAACACAAAGAAAAAGAAATTCCGGTGCCACATTTGCCAACGGTTTCTCTCCTCAAAGCACCACTTGGAATCCCACCTTGGAGCCCACCTGGTTGGGAAACCTTACCCGTGTTCCCACTGCACCAAGGCCTATGTTTACCAGAATGCGTTTGACCATCACATGTGGAAACACCATCGACGCTTTCTTCAGGGCAAGAAGAGGTACCTGTGCCAGGTGTGCAATAAGTTATTTTCAAACACCGTGACGCGACAAAAGCACGTGAGGGCTGCGCACATGGGAGAGGCCCTGCTCACGTGTCAGTTCTGCGGAATGAGCTTCACCTCACGCCACGAGCTCAAGAAGCACTCTGCCACACACACAGGCAACAAACCTTTCAGCTGTTTGTTCTGCAATGAAGGCTTCTTCCAGAAATCTGATCTGATCGAGCATAAGAAGAGGCATTCAGGGGAGAAACCCTTCAGCTGTTTGGAATATGGGAAGAGCTTTATGTTCAGGAAACCTTTTGATATGCACCTGGAGAAACACAATGAGCAGCAGAGGGAGAACTGAGGTTGATGTCTGCCCCTGGTCTTTCCAAGATGTCTGCCCCTGGTCTCTCCAAGATGTCTGCCCCTGGTCTCTCCAAGATGTCTGCCCCTGGTCTCTCCAAGATGTCTGCCCCTGGTCTCTCCAAGATGTCTACCCCTGGTCTCTCCAAGATGTCTACCCCTGGTCTCTCCAAGATGTCTGCCCCTGGTCTCTCCAAGATGTCTGCCCCAGGTCTCTCCAAGATGTCTGTCCCTGGTCTCTCCAAGATGTCTGCCCCTGGTCTCTCCAAGATGTCTGCCCCTGGTCTCTCCAAGATGTCTGCCCCTGGTCTCTCCAAGATGTCTGCCCCTGGTCTCTCCAAGATGTCTGCCCCTGGTCTCTCCAAGATGTTTGCCTCCAGTCTCTCCAAGATGTCTGCCCCTGGTCTCTCCAAGATGTTTGCCTCCAGTCTCTCCAAGATGTCTGCCTCCAGTCTCTCCAAGATGTCTGCCCCTGGTCTCTCCAAGATGTCTGCCCCTGGTCTCTCCAAGATGTCTGCCCCTGGTCTCTCCAAGATGTTTGCCTCCAGTCTCTCCAAGATGTCTGCCTCCAGTCTCTCCAAGATGTCTGCCCCTGGTCTCTCCAAGATGTTTGCCTCCAGTCTCTCCAAGATGTCTGCCCCTGGTCTCTCCAAGATGTTTGCCTCCAGTCTCTCCAAGATGTCTGCCCCTGGTCTCTCCAAGATGTCTGCCCCAGGTCTCTCCAAGATGTCTGCCCCTGGTCTCTCCAAGATGTCTGCCCCTGGTCTCTCCAAGATATCTGCCCCTGGTCTCTCCAAGACTGTCGGTACCACGGGTCCGGATGGGTCAGCCACTCTTTGATTTGGACTCCAGCGGGGAAGGATTTTTCCGTCATTACTGCAAAGGTTGGTTAATGTACTTTTATCACCAAAGTATAGTACCTTTTTCTTTCAACGGAGTTAACTGGGATAAACATAAAACACGATCACCAACAAGATTAGGTATGTCTGTTTGTTGGATCTAATTTGATCCAAGAAAATATGTTACTTTTAACTATCATATTATAGGGCTTTGACTTTGAAATTAGAATATAATTAGAATATTAGACAGCCCCTAATGTTTGAAATGTATTTAATGACTGTGAATAAAATAGTTAGCTCCCAAAGGTTTCACTGGACGTGCTAGGCAGGTAACAGCTAAGCTAGTAACAGCTAAGCTAGTAACAGCTAAGCTAGTAACAGCTAAGCTAGTAACAGCTAAGCTAGTAACAGCTAAGCTAGCTTGTTCAGAAACTCTCTGGAACTACATGAAAACTGAACAAAGAATTCTGAACATCAGCGGTGAGTGACCCATTTATACCGAACCTAAATCCATCAGATCCTCCTCAGATGTGTCCTAAAATGTTTCATGTTAATGGTTACTTCCGGGTTTATTTTTGTCACATTAAAACAGTATTTTCGTCATGAAAACGTGAACAAATAATTCTGAAAACGTCCGTGACTTGTGTTAGGGATGTGTATGTGTACTGTAATGTCCGATTAACATTTAATGGTGTTGATTGATTGGTATTTGTGTAGTGAGCGTGGTAACAGCTAGCTTTGAGGAGCCGTTTTATTAATTATAATTAAATGTTTGATTATATATTCTAATAATAATACGAACTTCGAATATGATTTTTGTGCAAAAGTCAAAGCCCTATCATATTACAATGACACTGACTAGTGTAATGAACAGACTGTTGTCCCAACCTGTGTTTCTAATGATTTATTTTGCCAAATAAAACACAGCATTAACCTTTTTTTTAAAGGAAAGAATTGGATGTGATAATACTAATTTCATGTATGGGATTAGGCCCAATGCTGTGCAAACAACTGTTTACTGCAAACTGTATTCTTATATGTCTTGTTTTATGTTTAGGTTAAACATTCCATGAAAGTGAATGAACCCCCTCTTCATCCCTGGGCTGCTGTTGATCCAGATGCCACTGCATGTGTCTGCAACTCTCTTCCATCTTTTGGCTGAAGCTGAGATGAAACGATCCGTTTCTGTCACCTCCAAAAAGTGCAAGTGGTCAGGCAGACAGTCGATCACCAAACCTGAGCCGAAACAAGGCAAGGATATTCAGTTCACAAAATGCAAGAGACTTAAGCCACATATGCTGCCTGATACTCCTCCTCTTTCTCCAGATGAGGAACAAACGTTCTATCAAAACTTGTCTGAAACATGCAAGTCTGAGTCCAAACCTATTAAGCCTGCTATTCTGTCAATCATACCAGGCTATGCTAATGCTAACTCATATGTCCCACGCATTTGCAACTCAAATATTCCAAAACCACTCACAGATCTGTTTGATGCAAATAATCGCAAACTGACAAAAAGTGACAATGTTTTTGCAAAAATTGAAATCAGTCAATTAAGAGTCAGTCAGACCTTGTTGAGTTTGAAACAAGGAAGCAAACAAACTGTAGACTTTGGTACCAACAAAGAGCAGGTCGTATCACTGCTGCTTCTGTTCACAACTCTTCCAAATCACTCGTCAATAACATTTGTGACCCAATGTCTGCAACATTTTCAAGTGAAGCAACCAATTGGGGATGTAGTCAAGAAAATAAAGCAAAGACATGATATGAAATCAATATGAGAACCAGTCATGATTATTTAATCATAACTGATGAGTCCTCAATGCCCTTTTATGGGTGCGCCTGATGCCAGTGTTTCAGGTTCCTGTTGTGGAGAGGGTATTTGTGAGATGAAATGCCCTTTCACAGCTAAAAGCAAGACTATCACTGAGGCTGCCACAGGTAGCAAATTTAGCTTAATATCAGATGCAAATGGCAACCTGCAATTAAGTAGGCAGCATGAATATTACTGTCAGGGTCAGACTATTACAACTGACAACAGAAGGCAATTACTGTGATTTTATTGTGTTCACGGCTAATGACAATGATTTATTTGTGGAAAGAATTTACATTGACCATGATTTCATTCTCAATGTTGTTTCAGAAGTGCAGACCTTTTATGTGTCTGTTATTCTCCCAAATCTTTTAGCAAAGGTAATCACATGCCCAATGAAGAGGGTAGAAAATACTGATAAAGAAAAGGTGTGTTATTACATGTCGGTTACAGGTCCTGTTTAAAGATAAGGAAAATACATAAAAGGTGGATCTGTCCTGGATGTAGGACAAAACCAAACAAGGAAAAAAGAATGTCACAAAAAATGGTATCTACTTCTCTCTCCGCTGACAAAGTTAACTGAACAAGATTGTTGTACTTATTGTTCCTGATCAATACTATGTATTTGTATTATAGTATAATAGGCAAGGCAAGGCAAGTTTATTTGTATAGCACAATTCATACACAAGGCAATTCAAAGTGCTGAACAGAACAAGAAAGCATTAAAATCATAAATAATCACAGTACATTAAAAAAAAAAAAAAAAAAAAATATATATATATATATATATATATAATAGTACTCTATTGCTCTAGAGTACATGTATCTTTAAAGTGTACACTATGCACTTATTTAACAAGACGTCATGGACATGTTACAAAAACTGAATGAAGTAAAGTAACCTTGTATGATTCCATCTCATTTTTATTGTATATTTTGTTTACATTTTACTTGTACCTTATGTCACAAACTGCCAATGAACAAAGATATTTCAACCCATTGTCATTTACTTTTATTGTTACAAGAGACATATTTTGACCACATTTCAAATGCACGACAAAAGTAATTGATATATTTGGGTTTGGGGACCTTGTAGTGCACCATCATCGCACATTTTTCACTCAAATGGTACAACTGATTCAGAAAGATTTGTAATGGCACAACAAATGTGTAGAATTTTGTCCAAGGGCATTTCTCCAAAGACTCTAACAAAGACAAAGGAATGGGTCCATCAAGAATTGTACATTTTTGCCTTATATGGTCAATCACGCGCTCCACGTGGATCCGCACAGATGCTAACCCTAACCCTAACCTTTCCTCTAGTAAACGCAGGGATCCTCAGTTCGGCATCGAACAGAGCAACTGAATCTCCAACATCAAATCCTCGGCCCGCCAATACCAGATCCCCAGGAAGTAAATTATTCAAAAAGCCACTGTTCTGCACAATGTGTTTATCAGAAGTCCGGCCCCCCACCCTTTTGAAATGAAAGAAATAGTACCTTGTGGAGTAATGCCAATCATATATTTCATAGTATTGTGTGATTTATATGAAGAATATGTTTGGGATCTTGCTAAATAGATCTGAGGTTTCTCTGTAAATATCTCAAAACAGTCGATAATGCATGTGATCGAAATGAGAAGGGCAAAGTTAACCTAAGCTCTTCCTGGCCATTTAACTAACAAAGGTACAATTTTATACAATATATTAGTGCAATTCTGAAATATTCCTGAACCTGCAGAATTACTAACACAAACATGTCAATGTTACATTCAATCGTAAACGCAACATTGTGAAGATGAACCGCTGAAACGGGGATAGAAGCATTGGACATTAGCCATGGATCAATTTGAGTTTTTGGAATGAAGGAAAACCTGTTAATGTTCGAACTTTGTCATTATCATTTTCAAATCCTTTTTCGTCGAATTTCAGATTTTGCAGTTTCTGTTTTAGTTCCATGTTTTCAGTCCTTAACTGTTGACATTCATCCTCCACAGTCTTTAGATATCTGTTGCATTGGTCACTGCTGCAGTGTGTTAAACGTTTGTTAGTGATCCAGCATCCGCTTGCTCCTCCAAGTCTTCATCATCATCATCAGTGACAGCTGTCCATGAACTGCATCATCAACTTTCCCAGCTGCAGTCGTTCACGTTTCAAAATGTGCCACTGCATTCATAGTTTTCCTCTTCTTTGGTGACACATGCTTGAATACAGTTGGCTCACAGTCCATGTGAGGGATGATCACTTGTTCAATGGTATTACAGTCAGTTTTCTGGAGGAAGTGCACAGATGTAACTATTTCTCTGATATACCCTTCAGGACTTTTATGTCATGTTTTTCAATAATAATTG